CAGCAGGCATGGAGAAGTCCCAGGGCAGAAGGCAAGAGAGGTATGGCTTAAGCCCAATGTGAGACCCTCTAGGGCTGTGCCCATGGACAGCTGGTTGGATGCAGTGGGAGGAGCAAGCAGCCAAAGGTCCCAGGGACAGGTGAGGCTAGGAAAATCTAAGGAGGTACATTTCAAGGGTCTGATGCACATCTGAGAGTGTGATTCTTCTATCCAGATGCATATGCAATGCCAAGCACAGCTATGCACCCATCCCCTAATTGTTGAATGCCTGTCTCCCCTGGAAATCTTACCTTATTCATCCTGCAGATATACTTCCCAGGCCCTATTCCTGGGCTTCAAGGGACACGTAGACAGAGAATATCTGCCCCTCCTGCACCCATGGTGGAAGGCTGGAGCAAGGTCTCTCTCTAGGGCCCTGCTACCCTGAGCACCTCCTTCCCCCAGACATTCTTGTTCCTCACCTAGAACCCTCTCCCAGGCTCCCTCTCTCAACCTCTGAACCTATTTTCTGTTTGTCTGGCACTGAAGTTTCAGCTATTTAAGTGCAAAGATAGATGCATTTGAAAGATGTGATGGAACCAAGTTTGAAATGCAATAAATAAGATTGCACAAGAGAAGGAGATAGGTAATGAGCTGCTGCTTTTGCTCCTTGAAGAGACTCATGTAGCTGTCATCAGACTCTGCTCTTGGCCTGGGCAAAGGCTGTAACAGCCATTTGCCACACCGGATAAAGTGGGAAAAGAATAAACAGCAAATGAGGATGCCTTGGGCTGGATGCAGAGATTCAAGAGGGGTTCTTTCTACCCCAGGCCCAGTTTCTCCACACCAGGGTCATGATCTCCTGTGATGCTTGTGAAAAAGGCAATGCATCAGTTTGGGATGCTCTGGGTTGCAAGGCACAAAAGTCCCAATTCAAACTGGCTTAAACAATAAGAACAGTACTACTCATGTAACTTGAAATGCAGAGGCAGGAAAGATTGCAGGACTGGTTGGCTGAGCAGCTTAATGCCATTGCCATCAAGGACACAGGTTCTTTCTGTCTCTCCACACTGCTGCCCCAAGGCTGACTCACCTTGCAGTCACAAGGCAGGGCCACCCGCTTCCTGTCCAGGGAGGAGGGGACTTCTACTACTGTGGAATCCAAGTCCCTCCCTTCCATCTGGGTTGGCTTCCCCAGGACGGGTGCCAACCCCTAGGAATCGGTCACCAAGATAATGCCAAGAAATGGAAAGATCTGACCTCTTCCTGGGAGCTGGGGATGGGATGGACCTAGACAACCTGGTGATGTGGAGGGCAGGTGGAAGGGAGAGGGAATGGGTATTGGTAGACAGCCAAGAAATGCCCAATCTTTTGCTCTAGGAGTGCATTTTCAGCTCTGGTAACAAGCTCCTGAGGTTATCAGGGACACGCAAATGAGATCCACTGAGGAGGGAGGAAGGCAGAGCCAGACTCTGTCACGACTTGAGGCAACACAGAGTGAACTTCACTCAGAGCTGAGCCCAGTGATTATTTCCCCCTTGAAAATGCAAAATCATCCAAATTGCATCGAACTGGGAATGAAGCCCAGCCCTTTTCTCAGATGATTGAATTGGGATGAAACCAAATATAAACACAAAAAATGTTTCCCAGGCCACCCAAACACTCTTAGTTCTGGTCCCAACCAAGTGAGAGCAGAGGATGACGTGACTTTAAGTCAGGTGTGTGCTGAGGCCCAGCGGCCTCTGGGAGCACTTTTGTGCCGATGAATGGGAGGGAGTGGCAGCAGGTGGGCCCCTGAGATGCTGTGGTTGTCATTTAGAATCCAGTGGCAAGACCAACAGGGATTTTGCAGGAGGTGGCGAGGGGGTGGTGTTGAGAACCAGCTGCAGGACAATGGAAATGACGTGAATTTTGAAGTGAAAACATCTAGAGACTTTATGATACATACCACTTGTCAGTTGTATGATTGCGAGCTTCCCTGAGCCTCAATTTCCTCATTGTGAAACAGTAGGATGAAGGTAATACAGAGTTATATGAAATATTGAAGGTGGAGGCGACTTTGTATAGGACAGAAAGATGGCGACATTAGCCATTGCTCTGTGTCTCTTCCAAGGGCCCTGAGCATCTGGTGTCAGGAGCACAGAATTTTACTTCTCCAACCCCCGTCTTCACCCCTGCCTTCTAAATCACCCTCTCTTTCAAGGTCTCAGTCACGCCCTGGCTCCTCCCTGAAGGCCAGCTCAGCCTCCCGGGCATCTCTGATTGTGCCCTGCATGTACTGTGCACTGGCTATCAGGTGTTATTTACACATATTGCCTCCCGTTCGCTTCTGTGTTGTGGTCCTGAGTGGCCAAATACACTTATTTATTTCACCTGTTTGTGATCATCTCCAACTCACCTATACCTGAAAATAAAGCAATGGTGTCTCTCACCTCTTTGCAGCCTAAAAAAGCAACTCAGAATGTGGAGTGGGATAGCCTGCAAATCACCTATCACTTAAGGTGATGGCCCAGAGAAGTGGAATTACCTGCCCAAAGTGATCCAGCTCCAGCGGTAGGGTTGGTACTGGAAGCCAGCCTCCTTGGTGCCAGTGACACTCTCAGTGGGGTGGAGGTACAAAGGGGGCCTGATTTTGCAAATCATACATGTCCCTCCCAGGGTGACTGGTGGCTGTGTGTAACAAGATAATGATAAATGTTTCCGATGGGGACTGCTGTGCTGGGGAAAGATTCGGAGGCAGGCAAAGTGTCAAGAACCCTGGGGGCAGTGGGCTTTGGGCCAGGCTGATCTAGGCTTACTCTGCTGCTGCCCTCACCAGCTGCATGATTCCAAGTGACTTCACTCCACCGTAGTCAGAAATGCTTTTAGAGCCCATGTGTGCCAGGCACACTCAGTGGTGATCAGGATACAATCAGGTCCTCGCTTGGGTTACATTATAATCTACTGTGCAGTGTTTCTGAAAGAAGAACTGAGGGTTTCTTAAATCTCCTCCGAGACTCAGTTTCCTTATCTGTACAAGAAGGATAATCTCTACCTTTTAGGGAAGTTCAGAAGAAAACATGTGAAAATGCAGGGGCAGCAGCAGGATAGGGGGCCCAGCAGGAAGAGGTTGTCCAAGAGGTCACCGAGAGGCCAGCCCCTGTTTCCTGCCCCTTTGGGCCCTGTTGCAGCTTCTTATATCCAATGAATGAAACTAATTAAGGAATGCCCCTATCACCTAGGTCCAGCCTCCTTCGGGAATGGTTGGGGACAGAGTCTCAACCGGGGCAGAATGTCCAGGATGCATCATGGGATAATTAAAGAGGGTACAAAAATTAGAAACACAACTTTTTGAAATAGTGCAAACTGTTAAGTGCCTCTCTTTCCAGACCACGTCCAGTTCCACCCCTACACAGTGCAGGGTCACTCCTGCCACTGGGCAGGGCAGCCTGAGTCCTGCTGCCAGCCATTTGCACCCACTACCCGCTTCAGCCACAGAGATGGGAGGGCCAGGAGGGCCAGCAGGGCCAGCATGCAGGGCAGGAGGCTTCTTGGGAGACTCAGTCTTCAGATCTGCCTGTCTAACCTGAGGCCCCTTTTGTGGGCTGCCCACCCAGGCGCCAGCAATTTAAGCTCTAGACCTGGTCTTCAATCCTGAGGACCGGGAAGGCTCCTCTTACTACCTGTCATATAACTTTGAGTCTCTCAAATAGGAGGGAGAGGCAGAAGATCCCACTTCTCTGTGTGAGGAGCCCCATGTACTTAAGGGTTGACAAGCAGGTGGATCTTTTCGAAAAGAAAGATTCCCCTTTTTTCCGAGCGAACAGGGCCTAGCCTAGAGCACACAACTGGACAAGTGGTACACAGGCTGCATTTTGGCTTCTACTCTGTCCTCATCCAGAGACTTTTGTGCAGTGCACAAACCATACAACATGGCAGCCCTAGTCACAGGTATTTATTGCATACTCCCTGTGAGCTGGCACCATGCTAGGCACAAGGGACACAGCAACTTGATGCCCAGTGACACTCTCAGTGTGGGTGGAGGTGCAAAGGGAAATTGGTTTTGCAAGTCATGCCTGTCTGTCCCAGGGTGACTAGTTGCTGTGTGTAACACGATAATGATAAATGTTTCTGATGGGGACTGCTCTGCTAGGAAAAGACTTGAAAACAGGACAAACATCGAGAGCCATGGGGGCAGTGGGTTTTGGACCAGGCTGATCTAGGCAGGAGCAAGACAAGACATAATTCCTGTGCTAATAGATCTCACATGCTAGTGGGAGATACTTACTACAAACAGGCCAGCCTATGACCAAAACAGTATAGGGTGAGATCAATGCTGTGAAGCAAAAAAGTGGGATGTGGTGATAGGGAGGGACAGGCTTGGGGGAGGGATTTAATTTAGATTGGAAGGTTAGAGATGGACTCCTTGGTCAGACTTCAGGTGTGAGTTGGAGCCACCCATGCAAAAAGCAGGTGGAGGTGGGGGTGGGTGGTTTGGGAGGAAAAGTTAGGGGCTGGAAGCTGGACCAAGGAAAGAGCCCAAGCTGTTTGAGAAGCAGGAAGCTCAGTGACTGCAGGTGAGCAAAGGAAGGATTGGGGGCAATATCAGACAGATGAGCATCATCAAGCTAGGCAAGCTGCAGGGAGTCCAGATTTTGCTCCAAGTGTGGTGGGAGCCACTGGCATTTCTGAACCATTAGGTGGAGAAGAGGAGGGAGGAAGGGAGAAGGGAGAATGAAGAGGCAAGGGAGCAGATGAGAGCAGCAGAGGGGGAACCACCTGCAGCAGGTCCAGGCAATACCCATGGGCACAGCCATAGGATGGATGGGCTGATGGATGGAGGAGGGATAGAGGAACAGGGCCACATCTCAGTGGATTGCGGATTCGAGTGAGTTTGATAGGTTGTGCTCTTTGAAGCAGAATGGAACCACGCCTCTCCCTCTGCCTCCTACAACAGGTCAGTTCATCGCTTCTCCCTTCCATGGGGGTAAACAGACAGGAGTGCGCCTTTGTGGACTAATCAGAGTAATTTGTGTTTGCAGTTCAATGTTAAAAAATCCACGGAACCTGTTCAGCCCCGTGCGCTCCTCAAGTTCCCAGACATCTATGGACCCAGGCCAGCTGTGACGGCTCCAGAGGTCATCAACTATGCAGACTACTCACTGAGGTCCACGGAGGAGCCCACTGCACCTGCCAGCCCCCAACCCCCGAATGACAGTCGCCTCAAGAGGCAGGTCACAGAGGAGCTGTTCATCCTCCCTCAGAATGGTAGGGGTCTCCTGCCCCCTGCACTTCCATGGGCAGCACTCCAGTGGGGCTTGTCAATGTCTCTGTAGATGCTGTGTGTGACCTGATAGGGAGGCTGAGTGCCCCAGCATTTGGCGCTGGTCAAGCAGGTGGGCACTAGGCCTCGGAATCACGATCCTTCCTTCCTGACAACGTGTTGCCATAGCACTTCTCCCCCAGGCTGCCAACTTTCCACGGGAAATGGAGTCCCTTTCAAGTCATATGTGTGCAACTGTAAGAGAGGATAAAGAGCCATGGTTAAAACCATGGGCTTCAGAGTCATGGGTTTAATTTCCTGCCCTTCCATATACTTGCTGTGTGGCATGGGTCATGCTGTAACTCCATGAACCTCAGTTTCCTCATCTATAAAATGGGACTAGACTAATATCTGTCTGGTAGGGGAGTTGTAAAGTGTAGATAAAATAACGCACATAAAATGCTTAATTCAGGGCCTGGCACAAAAGAGGTAAAAAAAAAAAAAAAAAAACATATTGGATTTTTTGTTGTTTTTTGAGTTAAGGTCCCAAGCAATTTTTTTTTGAGTTGGGGTCTTGCTTTGTCTCCCAGACTGGAATTCAGTGGCATGATCATGGGCCATTGCAGGCTCAATCTCCCAGGCTCCAGTGATCCTCTCACCTCGGCCTCCTGAGTAGCTAGGACTACAGGTGCATGCCACCACGCCCAGATAATTTTTGCTTATTTTTTGTAGACATGAGATCTCACTATGTGGCCCAGGCTGGTCTCAAATTCCTGGGCTCAAGTGGTCTTCTTGCCTTGGCCTCTCAAAGTGCTGGGGTTACAGGCATGAGCCATTACACCCAGCCAAAACATATTGCTACTATTTCTACTCTCCTTTTCATCAGCATCAACATCAAGAGTGCAGAACCTTTAGGTGTACCATGCTGCTGCTGGGCACTGGGGAAGATATGGGAAGAAGAGACACAGTTGCCCCTGACCCAAAGAATATGTAGGCCTTTTAGAAAGACAAAACATAAAGCAGGGAGAATGGGTTGTTGTGTAGTCTCTCTTTTGTTTCGTGTGGTTGGTGAGGGAGCCAGTGGACACAGATGCCGCCTAATGGACTGTGACATTGACCCCATGTGTTGTCTTGGTGTGGCCACTGTGATTCTGCACACAGCTGGGAAGACTTGGATTTGGGTTTCTGGCATAGGTGATAGAGATGGGAAAGGTGTAATCAGGAAAGCAGAATCCCAGTGTGGGTGGCAGTGACGATTTTGCCTTTCTTAACAGGTGTGGTGGAGGATGTCTGTGTCATGGAGACCTGGAACCCAGAAAAGGCTGCCAGTTGGAACCAGGCCCCCAAACTCCACTACTGCCTGGACTATGACCGTCAGAAGGCTGAATTGTTTGTGACTCGCCTGGAAGGTATTGCTCTTATTTGACTCTCGTGGGCTTCTGTGTGTCTGTCTCCCCTGGAGGAGCTGTGCAGACAGGATGGATCATCCGCAGCTGGAGGGAGCACAGGATTAGGACTCTAACAACCAGACCCTGGAACACATGGAGCTTAGACACAAAGATTTCCTACATCCCCAACCCCAACAGTCCAAAGTGGGGATTCCTGGTTAACAAACATTTTTTCTCCAAATAGTGATTCAAGGACCAGGCTCCTTCCAGCTGTGGCTCCATAACCCCCTCTTTGTCATCTGTATCCTTGCCATCTGTATCTGGCAGATGGAAGGAGAAAGAGAAGGAGAGGGCATGATCATTCCTTAACAGCCTTTACCTGGACTTGGTGGATGTCACTTCCGCTTGCATCCCATTGGCTATAACTCAGTCACATGAGCACGCCCAACTGCAAAGCAGGCTGGGAAATGTGGGTTGGCGGGTGCCCAGGAAGGAAAGGCAATGAGTTTGGGGTGAAGAGCTAGCCATCTCTGCCATAGATGAATTTGAAATTGGACAGGGCTTTGTGCTGTACACAGAGGGTGTTCCGAATGGTCAGAAAAATTTCTACAATCTAAGAGCCAAGCAGCCTAAGGGTGGCAGGATGTCCTTGGTTTCTCTACCCTGACAGTTCACTTTAAGGACAGTAAATAAAGCTAAGACTTTGCAAAGAAATCAGGGCTAGCAATGGGGTCAGATAAATTGGAATTTTATATATAATTCTATTTTCTTTTTCCTTGTGTTATCTTATTATTATTAAAATCTTTTTCCTTGTATTATCTTTTAAGATTTTAAAGCACCTTCCTCCTATACTTTATTGTGTTTGGTCTTCACACTAGTGCGTTTTACAGATTAGGAAACTGAGGTCTGGCAAGTCATATGACTTGTCAAAGATCACTGCATCTAACTGGTGACAGAGCTAGGACTAAGTAGTCCCTTGAAGTTCAGTGGAAAGCTCTTGCTATTAAGACATATAGCCTCAGTTCTTCATCTTCTCTTCCTGTGAAATGTCAGCTACCACTTTCCAAATGATCACTGAAGAGCCAGTCAGAAAAGCACCACAGGTGTAAATTTCTGGGCAGATCCACACATTGTGAAGCTTTGAAAACACCAAGGTTCAGAACATAAAGCCACACTCACTCATGAGGTAAGAGCCAAGTGATTCGCATGGAAAATGGTTACATGGTGACTATTTAAAGTTCAGAACAAACAGTTATGTGTCAGCAGCACCACTAGTAAAGGCCCCCAGCAGCAAGTCCTGGCACCTTGGCAAAATTTCAGAATCCGGAGTTCAGGGGGCTCCAGGAAATGCCAAGTCTTGTCCCTGTTCTCCAAGAAAGGGAATCAGCATGTGCTGAGGCCAGCCTCCTCAAATGATCTATTTCTAAATGTCTCAGTGAAAGGCGATTCCCTGGTGCCTGGCATGGTCAGCCTTTCAGACACCCAAGGTCACATCATTAAGTTGGATTCCACAGCCCTAAGCAAGGCATGCTTCTGCCCGCTCCACTTGTCCTCAGGAAGTCCCATGCCTGTGTTGTTCTCCTTGCCTGCAGCTGTGACCAGCAACCACGATGGAGGCTGTGACTGCTATGTCCAAGGGAGTGTGGCCAATAGGACTGGCTCTGTGGAGGCGCAGACAGCCCTAAAGAAGCGGCAGCTGCACACCACCTGGGAGGAGGGCCTGGTGCTCCCCCTGGCGGAGGAGGAGCTCCCCACAGCCACCCTGACGCTGACCTTGAGGACCTGCGACCGCTTCTCCCGCCACAGTGTAGCCGGGGAGCTCTGCCTGGGCCTGGACGGGACATCTGTGCCTCTAGGGGCTGCCCAGTGGGGTGAGCTGAAGACTTCAGCGAAGGTAGGGTTACCCCTGGGTTAGAAAGGTAAAACTTGCCAGTGCAGCTTGAGATGGCAGAACCCGGTGTCCTCCTAGCAACTCTAGGCCAAGTCTTAGGGAACAAGCCTCAGAGACCTCCTTGGCTTGGGGCTGGAAGGGAGGGTGGAGTCTTGAATGGAGCAGAGGGCTAGAGGAGACCCATGGCCCAGGATCTGGGATCCCTAGTGTCTGCTCCTAGTCTTGGCTCTAACTTGTCATGCAAAGACTCTCTCTGCCATCGTGGAAAATGCCATGCTGCGTGTATTACCTTTACTGCTATGAAGTATTGTCCCCATTTCAATCCAGTTATACTCTGTGCGCTCCTACTATGTGCCAGACACTGCAGGGCATTCTACCTTCCTTCCTTTGTGCAGGTGAGCATGAAGTGGGGAAGGGTGGAGCTCCGCCACTCAGGAGTGTACAGACTAGGGGACAAACTGGCACAGACAAATGATGATGATATCTGACATGTTCCACTCTGAGCCATGGAAGAGCGACCTAACCAATGTGCTCTGATAAAGAATTCTAGAAGACCCTGTGTGTTGGGCTCTGAAGGAGCAATCAGGGCTGGGGGCAGGCCCAGAGCCCGGTGATCCACGCAATCCCCAGACTGAGGATGATTTCCCCATATCTGCTGTTGGGGGGCCACGAGTGGGAAAGAAGGGTCTTCTGAGATGCCGCAGCCCTCAAGATTGGGGACCCTTGGGGAGCAAATCATTGTTCCCCATGGGCCAAGACAGCAAGGGGGTCTGGGAAGGTCAGGGCTACAAGACGGTATGTAGTTGCTTAGGCCCCTGGGTCAAAGCCTCATGTAAGGGCCTGCACTGTGGTGCCTTGAGGGAACCTTCTGGGTGACTAGTCTCTCAGCCAGATGGGCAGTGCTAAACTGATCTAAAGACTGTATAAGCTGCATAGCCCCAAATAGGTATTATTAGGCACTTTCCAGAAAATGTTTGCCATCCCTCGTGCTAAAGCAAAGAGAAAAATACTGATTAGGGCACTATTTTTTTTTTTTTTTTTTTTTTTTTTTTTTTTTTGAGACAGAGTCTCGCTTTGTTGCCAGGCTGGAGTGCAGTGGTGTGATCTCAGCTCACTGCAACCTCTGCCGCCTGGGTTCAAGTGATTCTCGTGCCTCAGCCTCCCGAGTAGTTGGGATTACAGGCACAAGCCACTACACCCAGCTAATTTTTGTATTTTTAGTAGAGACAGGGTTTCACCATGTTGACCAGGATGGTCTTGATCTCCTGACCTTGTGATCTACCCACCTCGGCCTCTCAAAGTCCTAGGATTACAGGTGTGAGCCACCGCGCCAGGCCAAGGGCACTATTTTTTAATGCTCACCGTGTATCAGTTGCTATGCTTAGGACTCTACCTGAGTGCTGCCACTCCCCAAATCAACCAGATGAGAGAGACACCATGACTATCCACCTTACAGGTGAGGAAACTGATGGTCATAGTAGTTCAGGAATCCACACAGGGTCCCACAGCCAGGAAATGGCAGACCTTGAGGCTGAGTTGGTCTGACTCGAAATCCTGTGCTATCTCATTACTTGCCATGAAAGCTACCTGACAAGTATGAGGTGTGGCCAGCAGGCACCTTTCCTAATAGACACCCAGACTGCAGGAGGGAAGAGTACATTTCACCCACTGCCTGCTCCTCTTTTTGCTATGATTTCCTCCTTGCTCCATTTTTTCCTCTTTCCCAGGCGCAGAAAATTGACAGAAAAATCACAGCCACTCTCAGATGGAACTCAGCTGTTCCAAAGTCCACTCTCTAGTTAGTGTGTGATTTGGGACTTCTGTGGAATCACAGATGGGGATCCTGGGAGAAGGAATCAATACTTAGGATTATTAAACTAGTAAACTAGCTTTCTCTCGAGATGCAGAGACTCCCCTGCTGGGTTCTGAGACTTGGTACAGCCCCCAAAGAACAGAAATCCAGCCAATCTAGGAAGAAGTCTCAGGCACCTAGCAGCTTCTCTCACTGCCCCCTAGAAGAGCAGCCATCATTCACTCATTCATTCATTCTGCAAATACCTTGCCCAGTTTCTACCATGTGCCAGGCACTGTGCCAAGAACTAGGGACACAGCAACAGTAATTAAGATGAAGTCCTGACCTCATAGCTCATCCTAATAATTATCATACTTTCTGTAGCTGTCTCTGTTCTGCAAATACATACTCACAACTGCTTTGATCACTGACCTGTTTACTACAAATGTGAACAACCTCAGAGGGTGGCATGGAGTTAGAAGTAGGAGGTGAACTTCTGGGTGTATAGGGCAGGAGAAAGCTGGAAGTCCAGGCCAGGGATCCCCTCGCCCCAGCTAGAGGGTGTGGGCTGATGGGCTGATTTGAACAAGGTGAGTGGAGCCCTCAGTCATTGCAGCCCAGATGTTTTTCTTCTCTAGGCCAGAATGGGTTAACAGACATGCCCACAGTGCCCAGTTCTAGCTGGAATATACTCAGCCAAAAGTGCCATGTGCATCAAGAGGGACTCACAGGGCAACCCACTCCAAGGGCAGTCTTTTAAAATTATTATTATACTTTAAGTTCTAGGATACATGTGCAGAACGTGTAGGTTTGATACATAGGTATACATATGCCATGTTGGTTTGCTGCACTCATCAACTAGTCATCTATATTATGTATTTCTCCTAACACTATCCCTCCCCCAGTCCCCCACCACCTGACATGCCCTGGCATGTGATGTTCCCTGCCCTGTGTCCAAGTGATCTCATTGTTCAATTCCCACCTAAGAGTGAGAACATGCGGTGTTTGGTTTTCTGTCCTTGTGATACTTTGCTGAGAATGATGGTTTACAGCTTCATCCATGTGCCTGCAAAGGACATGAACTCATCCTTTTTCATGGCTGCATAGTATTCCATGGTGTATATGTGCCACGTTTTCTCTGTGCAGTCTATCATTGATGGACATTTGGGTTGGTTCCAAGTCTGCTATTGTGAATAGTGCTGCAATTAACATATGTGTGCATGTGTCTTTATGGTAGCATGATTTATAATCCTTTGGGTATATACCCAGTAATAGGATCACTGGGTCAAATGGTATTTCTAGTTCTAGATCCTTGAGGAATCGCCACACTGTCTTCCACAATGGTTGAACTAGTTTACACTCCCACCAACCGTGTAAAAGCGTTCCTATTTCTCCACATCGTCTCCAGCCTCTGTTGTTTCCTGACTTTAATGATCGCCATTCTAACTGGCGTGAGATGGTCTCTCTTTGTGGTTTTGATTTGTATTTCTCTGATAACCAGTGATGATGAGCATTTTTTCATATGTCTGTTGGCTACATAAATGTCTTCTTTTGAGAAGTGTCTGTTCATATCCTTTGCCCACTTTTTGATGGGATTGTTTTGGTTTTTTTTTTCTTGTAAATTTGTTTATGTTCTTTGTAGATTCTGGATATTAACCTCCAAGGGCAGTCTTGCATGGTTCACTGAGACCTGAGAGAAAGAAAACCAGGGAAAACCAGGGAAAGGAAGAAGAAAGAAAGGATTACTGTAGTCCGCAAGTATTTTCAGCAGCAGTGCCCAGGGAGCAGGTGCTGTTGAAATTGCCTGGCTATGTGCAGCTGGTTAGGCTAGTAAACCTCACCCTATGCAAAAGTGAAGATCCCTGCAGAGGCCAACAGGTGCTGACTCCTCTCACTTGGTCTGCAGGGAGCAGAGGACTCAAGTCTGGTCACCCTGTGGCTATAGCCCGGGCTACCTGTGGCCCTCTAATAATCGACCATGAGCCAGGAGGCTGGTGCCCATCCCAACTCTATGGACATCTCTCTGGGTGCCTGGTACAAGTCCCTGGGCCTCAGTTCCTTCACTGTGAAATGAGAGGGTTGGGAAGGGCTGTCAACTGAGAAAGCTGGAGAGCCATGGATTCAGGAGTTAGGTTTTGCTATTAGACTGGACCTCCTTTCCAAGGCTTGGTTTTGCCACTTCCTGCCTATGTGACCTCTGGCAACGACGTTTCCTTTCTGAATCTCAGGTTCTTATGTTAAAATGGGAACAAAATCAGTAGCCCTCTCGGGGTTGTCGTCAAGATTATAAATGGGATGTGCTACCCTTTTTTCACAAATGTTTATTGTGTGCCCACTGTGTCCCAGGTGCTGGGGTTGCATAGTGTGAACAGAGGCCACAGTGGAGCTTACTTTCTAGTGGGATGGACAATGTAATTGCATCTCACACACAATGTTTAGTAAGTGTTAACTGCTATCATTCATTTCATCACCAAGATCCTTTGAGGCTCCCAAATCATTTCTTCATATGACCAGTCCCTCAAAACTTGTGGAATCATTGGGGTCATGCAGAAATGGAGGCTTAGAAAAGTTAAGTAACTTACCCAAGATCACAATGGTAGGATTGGAACTTGGACCCAGTTAATCTGGTCTAGAGTCTATGCTCGCAGCATTACTCCTGTTCTGGATTATTAATAATTGTTTTGACGGTTGTCATTAGAATTGTAATTTATGACCTTTACTAAGAGCTTGCTATATGCATTTTCTCACTTCATCCTCTGATATCTATATTTCTTCATAGCATTTAATGCTGCCCAATGTTACATATTTAATCACTTCCTGTCTGTCTTCCCCACGTGACTGCAAGCTTCCTTGAGGCTGATTGTGTTGAGTTCATGACTTTAATTACGGCGTCTGGAATACAGTAGGTGCATTACATATGCTTGCTGAATGATTGAATCCAGAGAGGTCACAGTGAGCAAAGAAAAACTGATTTCAGCCCTTCTGAGTGCCTGGTCCAGGATGGATGAACAGACATCCTGGGTGTGACAGGAGGGGAGGAAGCTTAGGAAGCCATGGTGGCTGTTAGCCAGGGCCCCAGCCTGGTACCAGACCTCACTGAATTACCCTCATTGCACAGCTGGGAAAGAGGGACAAACCTGGAGGGAAGGGGCACAGGACTGAAAGCTGTGACATCTGGAGGGACAAGCTTCCAGGGGCCCTTCCCCCACTCCCACTCCCCACTCTCCATCTTGGCACAGCAGGCCACACATCTGCCTCTTCCTTGGAATTTCGAGGGAAGGGCATCTTCTTCCTGTTCAACAGAGGAGACTTCTGACCTTCAGCTGATCCCTGCCCACACACTCCCTTCTCTTTCCTGAAAGGTCTCCCCAGAGCTTGGATTGCAACCAAACACCCACCTCCTGGGAGGTGTCTTTTGGTGGTTCTTGTCCCTTGATGGATTTGTTGAAATTCCAAACAAACTCTTGTAGGAATTTCAGGAGAATTACTCTAAAGCTGCATGCAGGGATAGATGTGTTTGTTTGGATGTCTCACAGGGCATCACCTCCTTCGAGGTGTGGTTATTGCCAGTTGCCTCTGGGCATGATCTACCGTCATATGCCCCAGCACTTCATTGACATTACTGGTCCCTCTGTTGATGAAGCAACCTCCTGGAGCTGGAAAGAACTATCTTTTCAAACAAAGTAATGAATTATAACTCTCCCCCTGCCCCAGGAACCTGATGGGCCCATGCAGGGATTCTGAAACTGTTCTCTGAGGCCCTGGAGGACAGAGGTGTCCCAGGAGCTTGGGGGTGGTGGAAGGTGAAGGGTAATGGGGAATTCTGGCCTCCTTCCTCCTGCTGCATTCTGAGTAGCATTTCTTTGCTCTGTTTTGTATGTTGGATTTGACTATATGGTATGTGAAAAATCACATGTGGAGGCAAACAAAGAAATTGCTATTGAAGCGCATGCCACATAGAATTCCTCTGTGCCTTGCTCTCTTCTGCAAGGGCAGAGACCCCAGAATTGATGGGTAAATGGTTTCGAGGATGCCTGTTGGATGCAAATCCAGCATGATCCCAGCTTCAGCATTTGTTGCTGGGTCAGAAGCCGTCCCCAGGTGAGACTCCCCTCCTGTGTCTCCTGTTCTGTTTCAGGAGCCATCTGCAGGAGCTGGAGAAGTCCTTCTATCCATCAGCTACCTCCCAGCTGCCAACCGCCTCCTGGTGGTGCTGATTAAAGCCAAGAACCTCCACTCTAACCAGTCCAAGGAGCTCCTGGGGAAGGGTGAGTGAGACGTGAGAGGATGGCCAAGGCCCCTCCAGTTACCGGGAGTGTGTGCTGAGGGAGGTGGTGCCTGGGAGGAAATGGTCACAGGTAAGCAGGGAGGTGGAATATGAGCACATCTACAGAGCCATACTCAGCTGTGTTCTTCACCCTAAGTTCACAAACTGATTTTCAAGGACACACTCACTTCTTCGAGTTCACATCCGTTTACTCTTGGGCCAATCCCATCCATTAGGACCCAAGTGTGAGCCACCTGGGGCTCCCTACCTTGGAGATCCACTATGAGAACCATCAGCCCTAACCACAGAGCACAAGAAGCCAAGGGTCAGACTATAGCCGTGGAGTGAAGGGCCTGGGCTGTTGGGAAAACTTGGCCCAGCCTTTGTCACCCACATCTGGCTGGACCCACCTTTCAGGCAGCTGTCAGGAAGCCCAGGTTCTTCCCCTCCTGTCTGAACTCACCACCACTGCACTCCCCCCACCCACCCCAGTCTCTTCTCTCTTCTCAGCCTTTTGCCAACTGCCACCCTCATACCAGCTGAGTGTGGGTGATGGCAGAAGGTGTGTGGGTACGTGGGCTGAGGCCTGAGGTTTCAGGCATCTGTGCCCCATATACCCAAATAAGCTTTTCTTCAATACCCCGGAAGCCTCAGTTTTTCCTTATGGATACCCCAGCCCAGGTTCAGCATCTTGGAGACCAAAGCAAGCTCTCCAATATGAGCAGGAAAGCATCCTCGGCTAGCCAGATAATACCTGGACTGGCAGCCAAATGCTCCTAGCAAGATATAAATAAGTCTCTATTTATAGCAGGGTACAAATAAAGAATTGCCACTGCATTCTGAATTTCAAGCAAAAGACTTGGGGCTAATGAAATCAGAAGAGTTGGTCTTGCTGGCAGTTTCCTGAGTCAAAGGTCAAAGTTCAATGCTTTTATTCTCATTCCCTTTAGACAATTCTTTGCTTCTTGCTTTCTTTTATAGCTCCTGTCAGGACAATTACAGTACAACACTTCCTCTCTCAACTATCTCTACAGAAATAACAAACTAACCTCCCAGGGGTGATAATTACAGCATTAAATACAAAGTAACAATTATTCTCACATTAGCTTTGGAAACCCTAAGTAATCCAGTCCAGCCTTGTGATGTGACATGAAAGATCACCTGGTGACCTGTTTGTGGATTTCCTCGGGGCCAGCTCTCTTGGTGCAGGGTCCTGAGTTTGGAGGAGCGTGCAGTAACAGGCAGTCTGCCTTCATCCCTCTTCCATAGGAAGTTGGGGGTCTTCAAATAAAACTTTAAAAAGTACGGATCAGAAGAATTCAACCAACCAGCAGGGGATCTCCTATTTTAATAACAGACAAAATTGCTTAGACCAAGAATCAAGGGGATGAAGACTTGGGGGCTGGCTTCATTTTTCTGGTCTGAGTTTAAAATCCAGCTGCAGGACCCCTGAGCTATTGTCATGGACCTGGTTTGATGTGGGGATATGAAGTCATGTAGCAAAGGGTGGTTCCCTCTTGGTACTCTAACATGCCCCAATCACAGGCCACCCAGTGGTCAGCCTTATATATTGTGGTATTGGCTGTTTCCTACACTTTAGTGCAAGTTCTATAGAGGCAAGAACTTCTGCTGTATCCCCACGTCTAGACCAGTGCCTGCCATAGGGTAGGCACTTAATATTTGTTGAATGAATGCATGGCCCAGTGGGGGAGCAGAGAATAATCTCCAAGGCAAGGAAGTGAAAGTATCCTGGATCGACTCCTAGAATTACAGATTGTCCAGATGGGATGCTTTCCTGCTGTTATAGCAGAGCCTTCTATGGTCACATAGACTTGGGACCTGTGCTGGGGTATCCAGAAGGAAAAACTGAGCCCTCTAGGATGTTGGGTATATGGGGCACAGATGTCCAAACTCTTGAGTTAGAGATATCATCTTTCTAGCACCAGGAGGGAGCTTTGTCCTGGGCCCTGCCAGATCCCAGAAACTCACTCTTGGCCCTTCTCTCTGTCTCTTTTTCCCCTCTGCCCCTCCCCAGATGTCTCTGTCAAGGTGACCTTGAAGCACCAGGCTCGGAAGCTGAAGAAGAAGCAGACTAAACGAGCCAAGCACAAGATCAACCCCGTGTGGAACGAGATGATCATGTTTGAGCTGCCTGACGACCTGCTGCAGGCCTCCAGTGTGGAGCTGGAAGTGCTAGGCCAGGACGAGTCAGGGCAAAGCTGTGCGCTTGGCCACTGCAGCCTGGGCCTGCACACTTCAGGCTCTGAGCGCAGCCACTGGGAGGAGATGCTCAAAAACCCTCGCCGGCAGATTGCCATGTGGCACCAGCTGCACCTGTAAACAGCTGCCCGGCCGCCTCCCTTCTTGGACAGCCCTGACCCGTCCTCTGCAACCTGCTCTCTGTGCCCCTTCCTCATTCTGACACCCAGAAGACAGTGACAGATGTGTTTGCAAGGCTAGGATGGCTCTCTCATCATACTCCTGTTTCTAAGAAATAAGCAAGACAGAGCAGGACAGTGTGTGGAAATGGAATATGCGGGTCATACTGAGGAATGCATTTTGCTCATCTGTGTTATTGAAAGAGATGCTTATCAAATACAGTTCCTATGCCTGTTTTATAGGTGGGGTTAGGCCAGATGCAGAGAAAGCTAAATGTGGGAATCATGGATGCAAAGAAGAATTTGGCTTTTCGAAAAACAAGCATTTCAAAAATGATGAAGGAAGTGAAAGTATCCTGGATCAACTCCTAGAGTTAGAGGTTGCCCAGGTGGAAACAAATCTTAGCCAGCGTTCAATCAAGCTCACCACGCAGGGCAGTCACCCGGCAGTTCTCAAACTTTAGCATGTGAAGAGTCACCAGCAGATTCCTGGGCTCACCTGGAGACATTCCTAGTGGGTATTCCTGGTCGAAGCCCAGGAGCCTTCATTTTTAGCAAGCTGATGTAGAGGGTGGAGCACTGTACTTGGAGAAATTCCTTCTACAACATTCCACACAGGTTTTCGGCCACAGTCCTTGATGGAGTCCCAAAACCATGGTGCAGCCAGTTCCAATGCTGGACACCTCAACCATCAGTGTGACATCTGGGGCCTCAGCTTTTTTATTTAATTATTTTAATTCTTAATACTTTAATTTGTGCATTTCATAAGGCCCCTGCTCTTGGACTGAATTTTGTGCTTTTTATTGAAGAATTTTATTGTTTTTATCTTAAAATCAGTTTCTATTATCCTTGGGGAGACCATCCCTAACAAAGTACAGGTGGGATCTCCTGTGAATCATTGGCTGGGTTCTGATTGCTAGGTGTCATACCCACCAGCATCACCAAAGTGACTCTCTGAGATAGACCGGTCCCTTCTCAGTGTTCCAGTCACTTCAGGAGGAATTTAGTTATTGACTTAGTTATTGACTTAGTCTATGACATCTGGCTACATGTAGGCAGAGAAGAAAGACAATTTTAAAAAGGAAATCAGGTCTTTTGCAACTATGCCTCCCTCTGTTTTCACTTGAGTGGGTAAATGTGTTTTCACTTGAGTGGGTAAATAACCAGCAGCTAGGTTTTGAATTCCTACCTTGTTATTCTAAACAGATGTCCACGTTGTTAATTAAATCTAAATTATGAGCCTTGCTGAGTGGATACAGTACTTACCCCTGAACCAGGATTCCTGGGTTCTGTTGTTGACATTGCCCTTCAGAACCTGTTTGGCCAGCTGTATAAGATAGGACTAATGACTAGGAAGCCTACCCCAATGAATGATATAATAGATGAAATAGTGTTCAAAACCTGTAGGCACTCCCTGGCTAAAAACAAACTCTGAGGCCACCAGCAGATCATCTTTAAGCTAAGTTACTATTTTTTTTTTTTTTTTTTTTTAAGATGGAGTTTTGTTCTTTGTTGCCCAGGCTGGAGTGCAGTGGCACGATCTCGGCTCACTGCAACCTCTGCCTTCCAGGTTCAAGTGATTCTCCTGTCTCAGCCTCCCGGGTAGCTGGGATTACAGGCGCCCACCAACATGCCCGGCTAATTTTTGTACTTTTAGTAGAGACGGGGTTTCACCATGTTGGCCAGGCTGGTCTTCAACTCCAGACCTCAGGTGATCTACCTGCTTCGGCCTCCCAAAGTACTGGGATTATAAGTGTGAGCCACCATGCCCAGCCCACTTTTCACTTTAATTTGACAGCTGAGAATGCCCAGAAAGTGCCGGAAGCATCGTGGTATTTCCAGAACCATGGATTCTGCCTTTGGATCCTTCTCTATTAACATTAAAACTCTGGGCTTTCAGATGTCACCCTAATCCACTGCCCTAAGACACAATTCCTAGACAAGATGGGTAAGGGCTTCATTCCTTCAACAAGTCAAGTTATACTTGGCCTCTCCCTGAGAATCTGAGCAGGAACCTTATAACCTATGGTCATTATTTTTTTCTTTCTGTACAGACATAGAAAAGCATTAGAAATAACTTCTACCCATCCTCTGAAAAAAAAAAAAAAAACAGAAAAAATATCGAATCCCTCTTTCATGGGAAGTCTTTTGGATAATTGGAAACCTTCATCATGAGGTTGACCAGCACCTGCCAAGTGTTGTTTAGGAAAGCACTTGTTAGTGGTTTTCTATAACATGTTTTAGAGATCTCTTCACCATACTGGTTTCTTCTCTTTGGTTGGTATGGCTAAGAGAAAACAAAACATTTCCTACAAGCTGAAAGCTGACGAGCATTCTCTTCTTGGTAACATCTACTACTCCAATCTAGAAAAGTTGGATTCTAGACTAAAATCAGGAAATATGGCTCCTTATAAATCTATGCAACTGCGTTATAGTACCATCAAAGGAATTTCAGGTGGGCTGGGCGGGGCCCCTGATCCCAGAGTTATCAACTCCACCCATCATCATTCGGTCATGAAGCATCCTTTCATTCTTCTTCTTTTTCTTCTCCTCCTTCTCCTTCTCCTTCTTCTTCTTTTTTATCTCCAAGTTTTAGTCTTCCAGAATCCAAATTAAAGGTTGCCCCTGATGGGAGCCAGGTTCCACTACAGAACATCTTAGATGTCAGCCTTGAACTCACTTAGCAGGGATTACAGAAATGAGATACATTTTGAAGGAGAGTTGTCTGTTATGTTCACTGTATTCTAAGTGCTTGGGATAAAGCTGTCTCATGGGTGCTCCACATGTATTTGTTGAGTTAATTAATGAATTAAGAATGCCTGGCGGAGTAGGCAGAAAAAGACACTGCAAATGGCATAAAAATTAGAGTCCTAGCTGAGTTCTCAATGGTAAAGGCATCAGATGTCTCAGCAGTCAGGCTAGAAATTCATGACATTGAGTATTACTATTTGCCTAATGACAATTCATTGCTCTCCATGTAAATGTAATCAACAGATGAAGAGAATATAATTGCTCTGCTTTTCCACCGAAACTCCATCTTAGTGCATTTTAAATTACCCAGAGATGTCAAACTGCCAAATCAAAATATTTCAGTAGTCTTTACATCAGCTTACCTTGTACCAGAAACATTGACAATTTACCATCAAATTATAGTAATTGAGCCTGTGTGAAAGCATCTTATCATTTTTTAAAGGAACACCTTGTGCGATGCCAGTGAGCATTTCTAAAAAGGGTGTGAGACAGAGGTGAAAATAAGATGAGAGACCATTTCAGAATGCACTGTTGCCCAAAAAGGTGATCTGGTTCTTTCTTCAGAGATTTCTGAAGTAGAAAATAGGAGTCCGCCCTCATTAATCTGTGACTCTACCTCTTGCATCAAATCAATATCTATTTGTTGAGTACTTATTGATTAAGACCTTGCATATGTCTGTCCATTTTGATTTGAGATATAACTTTTTGTGTGGGTTGAATGACAAGTCACCCCAAACACAGCTGGGCACAGAGAGTCAGCTAGGAGACCAGTTATTCAGGGTCCATTTCTCTTGGATGTAAAAGAGTCCTGGGTGAAAGGTGGCTGTAGCCTAAACCAACTAGTCCTTGTGATTTGTTTCTGCCCTCTGTGTTTCCTGTTGTCAAATGCTAAGTGTGTGTTTTGCAGTCATGAACTAAAGCACAAAAAGACGCATGAGACATTGTAGTCATATGTCTGGTGTGACACTTTGGAGCAAAAACCTTGCAGTGGTAAATAAAAAATTTCCAACAGGGTCAGCTGCCTGGTGTTTTCTTTTTTTTCCCCCCCTTTTTACCTAATATTTCGGCATGTAAAATGCAGAAGAAATCATCTGATAAGCACTTATGAACCACTGCCATGTTTAATAAAACTTGACAACTACAATTGAAGTACCCTCAGTGTCCTTTACTCAGAAGACCATGACCTAGATTTGGGGTTTATCATCCCAGGCATTCCCTCATACATTTACTACATGTCTCTGTAAACCCTGAGTTCCATAAAGTGTTTTTAAACTTCATTTAAATTGTACCACACTATTTTCACTCAACATTAAATATTTCAGTTTCATCTGTGCAGACACATGCAGCTCTAGTTTATTTCCTTTTTCACTGATGTATGATATTCCGTTGTATGGATATGCCACAGTCCTATGTGGTTGATGTATATATACATGTTTCTTTTACTTTTTTTTTTTTTTTACTGTTACAAGAAATGCTGCTATGACATTCCTCTGTATGTCTCCTTGTGCACTTTTGTGAGTTTCTCTAAGATATATACCCAGGAGTGAGTGGAACTCACTCTTAGAGTGAGTCATAGAGTACTCTGTGCGTGTGCATGTATGTGTACCTTGGTGGCCTTGCTTGAGTACTGAATCAAAGAGGCTACATGCAATTAGGAATGCCAAGGTTGGATGAGGCTTTTCAGGGATTTGGCTTCATTGCTGGGGAGAAAAAAATAGGTGGAAACTAGTAACTCCTCTTTCTTTAACATTCCCCAAAGAAATACTCTATCAATGGAAGGATCTAGCAGCAGCCAGTGGTACTCATGAACTCCTGGTGGCAAGCAGGGACAAGGGGACTCCTGGAGTCCTGTCATCCTAAGCCTTCCTGGTGGCCACTACAGCCCTGCCCTCTGGAGGAAGAGGGATTAAGCAAGGGGCAGGGCCTGAATTGTAAAGCTAGTAGAAAATTAGCCAGGTCACACAAAATTAAAATAGAAGGTTCTTAAATAGGATAAACAATCCATAAAGAAAGCCATGAGATGTCTTTGCTTTCCAAGTCTGCATATAATTCCTTATTTTATGTTATGTATGTACATACATTCTATTTTAATGGCAACTAGCATTTTAATTTTCATAATGAAATAGGATTGGTGGGTTTTATCCCACATAGGCAAATGTTATGCAGACTATGTTTCACAGGTAACTATGAATATGGCCCACCTGAGCCCAAAACTCATACTTAAGAGTCTAGATTGATATAAAAGAGAAATGGAAGAGGGAAGCAGAGTTCATGAGTCACTGTATACAAAGCCTTTCCGTTGAAATGCTTCAAATAACAAGCACTGTTCCTGCATATGAAATTGACTCATGTCTAGAGCATTGCATCAGGAGCTGGGAATCTGCAACCCGACTTGGCTTTGTGACTGACCACCTTCACGGCCCTGGGTAAGTCACTTACCTCTGGGCCTCAGTTTCCACAACTGTAAAATGAATTTGGACCAAATGATCACTAAGGCTCCTCCCAGCTTTAACATTTTGTGATTTTGTGACCTAAACTGTCAGCAACTTTTTTTTTTTTTTAGACAAAGTCTGGCTCTGTCACCCAGGTCAGAGTGCAGTGGCATAATCTAGGCTCACTACATCGTCGACCTCCCAGGCTCAAGCAATCCTCCCACCTTAGCCTCCTTAGTAGCTGGGATCACAGGCATATGCCACCACACCCGGGTAATTTTTTGTATTTTTTTGTAGAGATGGGATTTTGCTACGTTTTGCCCAGGTTGATCTCAAACTCCTGGACTCAGGCAATCCACTCACTTTGGCCTCCAAAAGTACTGGGATTACAGGTGTGAGTCACCGCACCCAGTCAACGACTTACTTTTTACACATACCTTTAGCCTCCTATCTTGTGCATAAAACAAATTAAACCTACATACATGTGTACTTGCTCTCCCTGCCCCATGCCTGCCTAGTAATGCCCCTCTGGGATCTCCTGACAGTCCCTCCTGACAGCTACTCACTCCTCTAGACAACCTGCAATGGCACCTGATGCTTCAATCAGCCTCTTCTCATTTGCTTAATTGCTAATGGGGCTGGTGGTAATTTTCCATCCAAGAGTTTTGTGTTTTTTTTTAGAGCCAATTGGAAGCATCACCATTTCAGGAGGTCTGAACTCTAGCATCTGTTCTGTCTCCCTCCTGAGGCAGACGCCTGGCAAGGATAAAGCCAGAGTATGTGGCTGTGGATGGATTTAGGGAGCTGGGCATTTTCTTAGTCCACGTGTTGGAGAACTGTCCCCTTGCTCCCCTTCCTCATCTCCTGCAGGTGAGCCAGCACAGATGGCCCCTGGCAGGGACCTCAGCAGCTTCTCCAAGCCAGAGAAGAAACCCCTACTTTGGAGGAGGATGGGAGGAAGCCAGACTTTCTCCCAGGTAGGCACCTCCATCTCTAGAAGCCAGACGTTGCCATGGAAACTGAGCTACTGGTGGCCACTGTGTGATTTGGCCCCTGTGCTTGCTCATCCTCAGCCAGATTTGGTCTCCTGTCAATGCAGCCTATCCATGCTAGGGCATATAGTTCCCCAGCTCAGTTTCCCAGCACCCTTTCGTGGTATTTCAGGACAGCCTGTTGACGAGTGATGACAGAAATCCTGTTTCAGAAACCCAGGGATTCCAACCAGGGACAAGCAAGGAGGAACCTGCTTTTCTAACCAGAACAAACAGAACCTCTCCGCAGTTCCTTTCTCCTTGAGGGCCAGGTGAGATGAGCTGCAGGAAGCAGAACAAGGTGCCCTGAGGATCTCTCTGAGAGGGGAATGGTGATTCCCATTTAGGTAGAGGCATCCATGCCAGTTGAAGGTGTAAATGACTCTATTAAAAGTCACCCGGGCAGCCCCAGGGATTCAGGGTGAAAGAGAATGGCAGTAGGAATCCTTGATGCTTCCTAGCACCTCACTCACCCTGATCTTAGAGGTCACAATGAGGATAATGATAATCAGCACCTAATAAACCATGGCTCTGGGTTAAGCGCCGAAGAGATAGAATAGGATAAGTGACTCGTCCAAGGTCCCATAGGTTGAAAGAAGCACAGCAGGATTTGAATCTGGGGCTGCCTAACCCTAAAAGGTCCAGACTCTGGGGTACAGCAGCAGCCCAGGGTCTTTACTGGAAGATCACTTACATGCATAGGCAGTAGCTTAAAAATGCTACCTGGAACCATGAACTCTGAGAATCATTAAGCTGGAAGGAGCTGGAAAAGTTCTCTTTCATACAGGAACTAGGAGACACCTGACTGGATTGGGCGGAACATTGTCCAAGGGGCAAGAGCAAGTTGGAATGGAGGGGAACTCAAGTGAGTACCATGGGAACAACCTCCAGCATTGTGGAGTAGTGGCCGGGTCAAGGTTAGATGTAAGCAGAGGTCAGGTGCAGGGTCTTTCTGATCAAGGAAGGAAACCAAGATAGAGAGACAGGCAACATGGAAGAACCTAGGACCTCAGCTGTGACCAATACAGCACTGCAGGGGTTGCACTTCTATCAGGAGTGGCTTAAGTTCATTCATTCCTCCAATACCCACTGATTAAGTGCCCACTATGTAGCTTTTCCCTTGTGGGCATTACAATATGGAAGAGGAAGATGGACATAAAACAATCTGTTTCTCTCTCTCTCTCTCTCTCTCTCTCTCTCTCTCACACACACACACACACACACACACACACACACACAGTGATTACACAGTTTAGAGAGGCTGGATTTTAGATGAGGCTGCGTTTTAGATGAGACCTAAAAGAGAGGAGTTCAATCATGCAACCATCTGGGGAAAGCTATCTCAGGCAGAGGGCCCATGGCATCAGAGGATCCCAAGGTAGAAAAGAGCTTAGTGAGTTGAAGGCAGTGTGGCTGGAGCCCAATGCAGGGGAGGACAAGATGAGGCTGGGAGGTAGGCAGGGCTGCACTGTGCAGGGCAGATGGGTCATAATTAGGAGTTTGGATTGAATTCTAAGGGCAGTGGGAAACCAGTGGAGGGTGTTAGGCAGAGAAGATGCCATGACTGAATGTATGTTTTAAAAGATCATTCTAGAAATTGTTGCATGGTAGCCTTTCAGGTCTTCAGGCAGCTGGTCATTCTCCTGAGTCCTCTCTGGGTTGAATTCAACTCGCCCTTGAATCTTGGGGAAGGAGGGACAGGAGAAGCTGGGGAGAAGAGGGAGGAAGGGAATGGAATAGACTTCAGCCCCTTATCACTTCCTACAAGCCCCAGTTTGGGGAGACCAACTTCATGGTGAAGTGCAAATGGGGAGACTTTCCTTCCCTTGCTTCCTGGTGATGAAATCATTAACATGTTCCAGATACTGCTGCAAAGGGTGGGTCAAATCTGTGTAGCCCAGGAAGCGGGTGGGGCTGAACCTGGTTCACTTGGGCTGATTGGACGTGGACAGCTATGTCTCTTTGCTCCTTCTTTCCCTACACCTCCTTTGGGAAAAAGAAAACTAGACCATTCCATGGGGTCGGTAGAGTGGCTTTCACAACAGGAGGCCTCTGAGTGATCAACCACGGGAAGGAAGCGTTCAATGGCTGGGAGGAAAATGGTAAGACAGAGGTTAAGAAAAAGGAACAAGGCAGGCTCCTGAAAGGAAGACAAATGGGCAGGGCAGGGAAACAGGAGTAGGAGGACCGAGCAGCTCAGGAGGAAAAAATTAAAACATAGTATGCGTCTTCACTGGATTTATGCTCATCTTTGTAAAACGATGTGGGGAAAGCATCACTCATCACCCCTATACCAGTGCCAGTGACAAACCATTGAGGAAAGACCCTTCTCCAGGGACCAGGTCTGCAAGTAGAGAACCATGCCAGGCAGTTTGAGGGAGAATGAGAACAACAGTTTATCTGCAACAGCCCTGTGTGCTGCCTCCAGGAGATTCCTGTGGGATGAATGCATATGGGGGCAGAGAGATTTATTTTAAACGGTTTCGGTCACACCTCTTTTGGCCTGCCTGGTGGGCGAGGCACGTAGGTTACTTGCTGGAAGGAGACTCTAATGGGGGAACAATGAGAGCAGAAAGAAGGGGCTAGTGGCCTCTTCTAGTTCCTTCCAACCTGGCAGCAGGCAGGCTCCTATCCGGACACCTGAGCCCTTGTGGTGGGACCCGTTCTGAGTCAACCAGAGAACAGGCCGGGGATAGAGGCAAGGAGGCAGCAATTCGACCGTGGTGAGTAAATTTAAATGCTTTTATTAACAATCTTCTTACATTACAAGGATAATATGACAAAAAGAAAGTTTCTGCGTACATATTATGATAAACCAACATAGCTCTATTTGTATCCAGTGTTCTAGGTCCCGTCACACAGGTACTATAAAGCGTAGTCTGCAAAATAATAACATCAAGAGGTTTGTTTTTTAAAGAAAGAAAGTATTAACATATTAATATGTGATAATAGACTCCTAGGTATTTCCCCCCACCCCCACTTATTTTTCCTTTGTGATTGACATGAAAACGGTTCAGCAGCGTGGGGGTGGAGAGGAGAGAGACGGGGGCTGAAATAGACGGAATCAGACTGCTGGTTCTTCCGGAGAGACAAAAGTGAAGACTGAGGGGTGCCCGAGGGCAGCCCGGCCTTTGTCTTTTGGTGAGCAGTATTGTGACCGCTGTCCCCCTCTGGACGGAGGGCTCGGTCCCTTGGTGCCCCTGGCGTGCTCTCTCTCTGAGGTACAGTGCATTGTGGGATTGCTACCTGGGGATGCCCATCCCCTGGCCGTGGGTCTGGTCCACAGCAGTGGGAAGAAGGCTCGGCCCGGCCTGGTCTCTCTTGAGCCAGGTACTGGAGGGTGTCCCAAGACCCAGTTGGCAGCTAGCTGTGGCTCAAGGAGGTGGGCATTGGCAGAACAGACCCGCCCTGGGCTGCAAGTGGAGGGGTGGGCCTGCTGGAGACTGAGGTACTTGTAGGATGGTGGGGTAGAGCAAGACAGGGGCAGAGGAGGCTCAGGATGGGAGCAAATGCCCCTTCGGACTCCAAAGGTGGAAGGCTGGTCTGGAGAGAGGGAGCATGCAGCTGCCTTTGCTCCATCATCGGGTGCCTGGTCAGGCCCTCTCTCCTACCTCCAGGAGGAAAAAAACAGAGAGAGGAAACTGGGAGCAAATGGGCTTCTGGGTCCCGTCAGGGCTGCACAAGCCCTCCGTCATGTTGCCAGCTTGCACCGGTGCCCCCGCGTGGCCCCCAGACATCCCTGCCTGGCCCGGGCTGGGAGCTGGTGATAAACCCAGGGAGGCGCCCTCCCCAACGAAAGTGGATGAGCTTGGGGCATCCCGGCTCAGCCTCTGCCTCAAGTTACAGAATGCGAACAGTGTACGTGAACTAAACCTGCCTGTTACGGCGGGAGTGGGGTAGGGGCCACCGGGCCTCTGTGAGGGAGGGGAAACAGCGTTGTCCTGAGTACAGCCAGCAGCAGCTGCTGCGCGGAGCGGGCTGGGCCCAAGCCCTGCTTCTGGACTGGAGTTGCCATTGAATTTATGAGTGTGCAGATATGTCTCTCCCACCGTCTCCTGCTAGCTGATGCCACCTGCCCTGGCCAGAAAGCCTGTGGATGGTGGGCAGCGCTGCCTGGCGATGCTCACGCTGCCCGCATCCTCTCCCCGAAAGTGGTTGAGCAGGTGAGGGAGGCCAGGATGGCTGCACTTCAGCAGCTCGGCCTCTAGGGGCAGCAGAAGCATCTAAGAGGGCAGGGGCGGTATCTTTCCTGGACCAGCTCTTGATCCAGTTTGCACCTTTCCTATTGCCACCGACGCTGCTCAGTCCTGGTGGGAGAGGGTTTTGAAGGAGTTTGTGCAGTGGTCCCTCCACCAGGAGTCAGAGACCACGTCCTACTGCCAAGCAGCAGTGACCACCTAAGCGTAGGCTGTGGGGGTGGGGAGAGGTAGGGGGCACCTCAGCTGGAGCTCAGGGGGTATCTCCTTCCAACCTCAGACCAAGCCTGTGGAAAAGGAGAGAAAGTGCATGGAGCGAGCCGGGACCCAGCCACTCTCCTCTCCAACACTCCGGGTAGGAGGCCCCCTTGCCAGCCAACCCTGCCTGCTGGCCTTCCCTGGCTCCCTCTCCGAAGGCCGTGCTCCCTCCCCCTTTGCACAACACAGCGCCAGGCTTCCCACTGCTCTCCCAGCTCTATAGACTCTATTTTTATATCTATTTAAAACATAGAAATGTATAAATATATAGGATATTATTTATAGATATATAGACGTGATTTACTCTCTTACTCTGTGTGTATACATACTGTATATGTCCATATATACAACATATATGCTGTAGCATCTGTATTCTACACTGCACATACCCCTGCTTCCATGCACTCTCTCCTAGAGAGACTGGATTGCATAGGTATTTCCAGGGCGATACCACTTGCGGGGGCGGGGGGAAGGGAGTGCCAGATGGAAGCGGAGGGGTGTACCATTTTCCTCCCAAAAGGGCACTTTTTCTCCCTCTGGCTAACATGCAAAGATTGCCTCAAAGGCTCCTTAAAAATATCACAGCACCATCCACTCAGCTCAAGCACCCTAACCAACAGACGGCAAGAGAAGGGCCCCCACCAAGTGGGAGATGGGTTTCCCTCCAAGCAGAAGGTCTGTGCCAGTCTCTTGAGTCCTCCTGAGGACCGAGGAAGAGGCCAGACTAGAACCCATGACACAGCACCACTTCCCCAGAAGACTGGTGTCTGGAATGGGTGCACCACTGCCCTCTGAAAACCCCTTTCTTATCTGAGGAGGCCTGGCCTGCCTGTTTCAGCTGTTCCAGCCTGGCCTGGCTAGATCTGCCTCTTGAAGCAGGGAAGGGGCACAAGTCCAGTGCCTTCTGCCAAAAATTGGACCTATGGGCCAAGAAAAAGCATGAATTCTACTTGGAAATCAACCCAGACTGGAAGCCAAAAGCAGACCTAGGTTTAGACCTCCCATTCCCAGAGAGGGGAGAAGGAAAAGTGAAAGGGGGCATCCAGAAGAGGGAAGTTATACTTCAACCCCTCAGGCTACCTCCTGGGTCCCATCAGGCTCCAGGTGATCAAGTAACATGGCACAAGCCCCTCAGTGCAGGCTGGGCCAGGGCTGTGGGCCCACGGCAGGCTGTCAGCTATCGTTTCCAGCCTTCTGCGTGCTTTCCCCGCTTTTGGCACCACCTCCAAATGAATGGAAAACATTTAAACATTACCTTAAGTAATTACAAGGTCCTTTTCCCAAATTAAAGGGTTGGCATAAGCAACTCAAGGGAAGGGGGTTCAGCAAAAGAACTCAACTTGGAAACATGTGGTAGAGGCTGAGGTCAGAGACCTCCAAGTGCCATAGATTCCAGGGCCCAGCACTGAACCTTGCCATCCAGGGACCCCGGAGCTGGAGCCTGCTCTCAGTCCCAAGTGAGAATGGGGAAATGAGGATGTGCCCAGCATCACAAGGTGTCATAGGCCAGTCATTCAAAAAATTAAATCAGACTGCTGTTTTTGATGCCTGGACTCTCATATTCAACCAGGCAGGCAAAACTTGGGGATTCTGACATGGCAAGAGTTACAGACATGGCTGGGCTGTCCCCATGTTTCACAGATACTAGATGGCAGTGGATCTTTTGTTTTGTCCTCCATGAAGGAAAAACAGATCATGTTAATCATAAGGGCCCTGGCTCCCAGGCTCTGCCAGGTATCTTCTTGGCACAGTTGGCCACAAACCTGGGCCTCAAGGTTGATCTCACTTCCCACCATCCCCATGAGCCAAAGAAAGCCACTAATCAGCCAGCCCAGTTATGTCAAGTCTCAGCCCGAGACACATTTCATTCTAAGCCTGTAGTCATCACTCCTAAGCCAGAGACTGAGTTAAAGGGCTCTGTCTTGTCTGAAGTAACCACGTTTGGGATGCACCAACTGCTTTTCCACAATTCTGTATACACATCAAGGGGAGATTAGGTTAGCCAAGCATATGGCTCCCTGGGCTAGACTCTGAGTGTCCTATCAGTCCAAGTCCTTCTCAAGCAAGCAGAAGAGTGAGAAATGCCTATGACAGAAATCATGGGTAATCACACGCAGAATTCACAGGACAGAAGCACTGGGCCTCCCAGGGAACATCCAAGCTGAGAAGAGACCCTGTGTAAATTGCAGTGGTGTATCACCCAAATTATTCCCTGTCCCAAAGCAATGTGGCCTACAGAGTGTCTGCCACAGCCCTGGCATGGCTAAATTTAGCAGAAGCCACAAGTACCCAGAGTTTCAGGGATGCCCTAACCTAACTTCAGGACCACCTGGGTTAGCTTTTGCAAGGTCTGCTGGCCAGCTGAGGAGGTGACCCCTGCAGCTGCATGCTGTGCCTAGCAGCTCATTCTGTTAGGCCAGAAGCAGGTCACCTGCTCTCAGCTTTATCAGGGGCTACAGGGTAGGCACTGGCACTGGCTCATAAGCTTTACCCCTTCTAGCTGAAGATTTTAGCTCATTTTGGCCATGATCTCTTGAGAGGAAAAAGTGTAGCCCCAACTGACCAGGTGCTCAAGAAGACACTGGTTCTCTCTTCCTGGTTTTCAAATGAGTGGGAGCCTTGGCCTGCTCCTCCCTACCCATTACCCAATGTAAGGTGTAAGGCAACTGTTGGCTAGAAGAAAGGATCCCAACCTACTGTTTCTGCCCTCACCAAGCCCTGTCTTGCCAGCCATCTCTGCCCTCAACCCTTCTTAGTCTCTGCAGTGCTCAGTGGAACTCCCCAGACACAGCAGTTTGCGTGTGTGAGGGGACAGGAAGTCCCGAGGCTGGGGCTGGGCCAGGTGGGACCTGGTGCTTTGTAACAGCATCCCACTTGACCACAGTTAGGTTTTGACCCTAATGGGAGGAGCAGATGGAGGGAGACATCAGTTTAAAGTGGGGAAGTGGAACGGGGCTGGGAACCTCAGAGCCTCAGAAGGGGGCTTTCAACCTTTCCTTGCTCATTCCTGCTAACTGTCTTCTTGCTCAGAGGAGGGTGGGGAAGCATGTGTGCAACTGGGGTGGACGGTGGGGTGGATGTCACCAGGCAGGGGTGCATTGATTTGTTGAAGAAGGCAGCATATGAGGCCTGGCAGTGGGACAGTTGGAGGAGCCCAGGTTTTTTGTTTTGTTTTGTTTTGTTTTTCTAACATGCTACATCACTGTTGAAAACAAACAAAAATGTTTCAAAAATAATATATAATATATATAATATATTTATATAATGAAAAGCTATTGACTAGCAGCAATGATTCTAAAGTTATCTTAGCACCAAGACCATGGGGGTGAAGGGGAAGGGACTGGTGGGGGATGAAGGGACTGGTGGGACCAAGAAAGGGCTATAACATGTTCAGTGTTGATGACATTTCCACTATGGTTCTCAACGGTGGCATGAGGCCTCAGAGACAACATAAACCAAGAAGGAAGGAAGCCACCACAGTTTTATAATGTCTGAACCAAGCAGGTTGAAGACACTGGGGCCTTGCCTGTGGCCAGACCACACCACCTTCTGCCAACCAAGAGATGAAGCTCTCAGCAGAACTGACCACGTGTATATAATTCAGATCTTCCTCCCCCCACTCCAAAATGACCTGCATCCACGTGATAGGATCTCTGCATATAAAATATGCATAAATCAGATGTAGAAACATGAACAGAAGTTTTTAACAGCTCACGCACATTTTTTAAAACTCCCTTGCGAGGTATACCGGTAGTTAAATGAATGAAAGAGCATTGATCAGACTCCTCTAGTTTAAAACACTACTTGCCCCAGGGAGTAGGCAAGTGGCTATTTCTAAAGCTTATATTGTATATTGTGATTGTGTGTGTGTGTGTGTGTGTGTGTGTGTGTGTGTGTGTGTAGGCTGATGCCTTGAGAGTCCTCTCTTCTTTTCTCCATTTCTTTAGGACATCTCTATCCTGTTCAAAAAAGGAAGAGTTTACAGGCAGAGACACATTCCCCAGTTTCCTATGACCATGGAGCATGTTATCAGCCTTGTTGCAAAAGAAGGACCACATCTGTAGAGACTCTCATCTGAGTTATGTATAACTCAGGGCACAATTTGCATTGACACCTCCTGCCACTGAACTATAGCAGGCATTTCTTGATTATTAAAGGAAAAAAAAAAACCCTCAACACATAATATGATTATAAAGAAAGAGCATAAATAATCCATGTAACTCGAATACGTACTTTTCATTTTACCTATTTTTTAGCCAAAAATCACTCCCCTATTGGGGTCTGGACTTCTTGGCTCTTTATCTCCCCAAAAGCCCTGGATCGGATCGGAATGGAATTGTTTTATCCTCCACCTCGTATAAACAGGAATGCTAAAAGCTCACCCCTTCTCCCTTCCCCAGGATTTCAAGCTCGGCGGTGAGGCAATGTTGCCTTCGGTATAATGGGTAATATCGTGAATTTCTAGGGGGGCTGGAAGGAAGGGATCCACATCCCAGGGATGGACGAGGCAACAGAGGTGAGGTGTGGCAGTGTCACAGTTTGACCGACACTTTTGTTTGTAGGACAGTGAAGGAACCCTCATCAGGAAATGAATAAAAAAAGATCTCAAGCTGAAGTCAGGTGGAGAGGGAGAAAGGTCAATCCCCCCAATCCAGAGAGACAACCCACCCTGGCTTAAGTCAGAGATCTGATTCAGCCGGACCAGAATGTCAATGAGGAGGCCGAGGAGCTCCCTCCCATCATAAAACCAAATGAAAAAAGAAAAGGCAAGAACATAAACCCAAACCCAGAGCCCCTCCACCCACAAATGAAAACATAAACAAAATGAGCTACCTAAAGGTGATGACAGAGACCTGTCATTTTAGCTTATGCTGTTGGTGAACAGTAAGGTGGGAACACAGGAGGCCCCAGCACGTGCTTCTGTGAGTGAAAATGAGTTGCCATGTATGTTGCAGCTGCCAAATTTTGTAGACAAGAGTCAGTTTCCAACATTTTTCCTTTCTGAAAGCTCCCAGTGGCTTCTGGTGGACACGTCACCTTGGTTTTTAAAAATTTTCAGTGTAAGTTTATATATATATATATATATAATATAATATAATATATATTTATATAATATATCAAAGCTTATGAGTATAGATTAAAAAAATATTCAACAGCTTAGTGAACTCTGCAGTGCCAGCTTCCTAAATGTCGGGGTAAAACTCTGTCCCGTGGTCCACGGTCTGTAGCGCTGGCTTCTGCTCCAGCGCAGACATCCTACTGAGGACTTCTGCGGACAGCGCGTAACTATTCCCAGACTTCTCCTCAAACCAGCTGTCCAGGGCTCGCTTGGCATCAAAGTTGGCGATTGGCGGTCCGTTTACAGCGATTGTCAACAGGTCGCTAAGCTGCTCCAGGGTCAGGCGGGAGCGGTGGTTTTTGCGAACTCGCTGGAGGGCATTGCGGCCTTTCTCGCAGCAAGCGGTGGAAGTGGGGAGGACTTTAAGAACCTGGATGATCTTGTTCAAGAGTGGAAACCTCTGTTTGTACTTGCAAATGTGGCTGATCAGGTCTTTGAAGCCATTTTTGGTGTAGTAATCTGCCTTGAGTTCTCGCCACTCCATCAACAGACTACCCCGGGGGTCCAGCCCTTCCCTACAGACATCCCGGGAAAAGGTCGGGATGGCCTCCAGGTGATCAAATATTTGCACCATATCCTCCTTGCCAAAGCTCATCAGCTCCTCACTGCTCCTGGGCCAGGCAGCCAGGTCGAACACCTGGCAGGCCTTCACAAAGATCCGGCTGCGGGAGTCGAACCTCTGAGCCAGGATGACCTGGGTCTTCTGGCAGATCTTCTCCCTGATGGACTGGAACTTGGCTTCAGCCACCCTGAGATTCTTCATGGCGATCCCATTGAAGCTCTCTCGGAAGTTCTCCTCGAACTCCTGCAGGTATTCTCCAGGGGAGTCAGCCAGCCGGCTGATCTCCTGGATGGCCTCCTCGATCTTGTCATCCACCTGGGACACCAGCAGGTACTCGCCCTGGAAGATGTAGGCCAGGCGCGAGAGCACAGCGATCACGTCCAGCAGGAAGTAGATGAGCTTGATGGACTGGTAGTCCATGAGGAACTGCAGCAGGGCCAGTGCGATGGCCGAGGCATCTGCCCGCTGGGTCTGGCTGCTGACCTCCTTGAGATGGGCCACCACCTCCAGGTAGTCCTTGATGAGGGCGTTGAGGACGTTCTGCTCACCGATGATCCAGCGCACTGCCCGGATATCCCCCAGGAACTCCGTCTCCTCACAGAGGGTGGCCGCCGTGGACCGCAGCTCACACATGAGGCGTGGCGAGTAGCGGTAGAAGCTCAGCAGCTGCTTCAGGTTGTTCTCCAGCTCCTCCAGGCACGGGAGCTCCTTCCCGCTGATGGCATCCAGGATCTCCAGGTGGGGCCGGTGCACCATGAAGGGCAGGCACAGCAGCCAGGGCAGCGTCTTGCGGATGGTCATGAACATGCTGGCACGGAGGCTGGCTGTGATATTGGCTCCATCTACACCCAAGCCAACGGTTGGCTTTTCATCCTGTAACCGGATGCCCAAGGCTGAGAAGGCCCGGTCAAGTGCCTGGAGATAGCTTTCTGTGCTAGAGAACCCCAGCTCCTGCAGGGACAGGAACTCTGTGGCCGGGGGCCCGTCGCTGCTGGTATACTGAACATAGACAGCCACCGTGTCGGCCAGCAGATCATCGCTCTGCCCATCCAGGATGATGCTGAGGCAAGGTGACTGGCGGATGCGCTCCACCAGGTCTTCCCGCAGGGCCCGGGCGATGTGATGGATGAGGATCTGGCAGTCTCCCTCGTTCATGTACTGGTCCACCACCTTGAGCTCACACTTCCTCAGCAGCTCTGCCAGGGGCCGGAAGTCCAGGTAGGGCCTGCCCTCCAGGGCCAGGTGGTAGGCGGTGTTGAAGAGCAGGGTCATGTTGCGACACATCTCCTCTGTCTTCTCCGGGTGCATGCGGAGCTTGTACAGCTGCAGGCACTTCTTGTGCAGGTTGCTCTGGCTGTGCAGTTTGATGGTGTGAATCTTAAACTGTTTGGAGCCGATGATGAAGGCTGAGGTGCGTGAGGACTGCACCGTGTACTGGCGGCAGACGTGACACCACATCTCATTGAGGGTCGGGGAGTACCGCAGGAACCAGAACTTCTTCAGCCATTCCTGCTTAAAGCGCCGGATTCGGCGCCCAGTGGCCGATGACATCTTGGAGGGCTCATCCGTCGCAGTCATCATATCGTTGGAGACAGATTCATCTGCTGAATCGACTTCCTGGTCATCGTCCTCCATGATGGCGGGGCCGGAGACCATGCTCTCTGAGGCTGAAAAACAAATGGGAAAGAAACATTGATACCTGGTGGAAACAACAGGCTTTTCCAAAATCCACAGGAAACATTCCTGGAAGGTAGGTGCCACACTGTGGGAAACAGAAGTCCGTGGAAGCCTATGACAGATTGAATCCCAGCCCAGAATTAGTTTATGAGCACTCCTGCTAGCCCATGTGACTTTTACTCTCTGTGGATTGTCCACGGTTGCCTTCTGTCACACCCACCAGGCTCCAGGCTGCCTGCCTCACCCTCCATGTGTGGGTATTTGAGGGACTTAAATGCCGCCTATCAACTGGACAGTACAAGCTAGGAAAGTAGATCTGATGGAGGAGGAAAAGCACATCACACATTCCAAAGTTATACAAGAACTTGGGATTCATTTGCCCTTCATTAATGTGAACAAAAGTAGCTTGGATATGGCCCCAAGTGATTTCAGGATCAAAATGCAGTTTAGTTCAGATGCATGCTTTAAATACAAGAAACACCTCATTCTGAGCTAAGGGATGTGGTTAAAAGAGTAAGTGCTATGTAAACAGTCTCCCTCAGCTGCAGATATGAACTGGAAAACCTCCCTAGTTGTCAACCAACACTAGAGATCCAGGTAGCCAACAAAATAGGGAAAAGCCATGCAGGCGAATGGCCTGGATCCCCTCACTCTCCATCCTTCTAGAACTCCAGGCTGGGGAACATGTGTGGCAGGACAGAAATTCAGGAAGAGAATAACAAGGTTATGTTCCTGGACTAAGTTAGGGAAGCCATGAGATCTCTCCAGTGGGACACCCTGCTTGGGACTGGGGAGAGAGAAAGACTGGGTTTAGAAATTGGGCTTTGGGGTAAAACACCAGTAGGACCATCAGAGAAAGGCAACGGGTCAAGAACACAGCACACACCCCATCTGCAGCGGAACTTCCTTTATTGACAAGGAGGATACAAGGGCAACACACAGAGTACCTGACAGAGCTGCCGACGGGCCTGCCAGAGACACTGAGGACCTGGGCTCCCACCCATGGAGGTAGCTGCCTCCATGTTACACTCCTCAGGTCTCCCAGAAGGTGGTTTCCACAGAGAGCTTTAGGCTACCCTCCACACAGCCCACTGCGTGCTCTGCCCTCCGACAATAATCTCATCCAAACCAACTTACCTGCAGGGTCCGAGAACTCTGGGAGCTCCAGTACCTGTGGTGGCAATACGGGGGGCTCAGGAAGTTTCCCAGACTTAAGCATGTCTAATTCTGCCTGAAGCTCCCGAACCTTCTTCTTTAGGCGAATACAGTTAGGGCAAAAAGAGGTGGTGGGAAGTTCATGAGGGTCAGATGCAAGGGAGGCCTCGGCAGGACTGTCAGCCTTGAATGATGAAGGCTCCTCTTCTTCATCCTCCAATTGGCCTGGCTCCTTGGAGACCCCCTGGGGGACCTTCCGGTCCCCCTCCCCCTGGGTCCGGCCTATATTCTGCACACCATGGGTCATGGTTGTTGCACACCGACTGTAGGCATCATCCTGGTACTTGGGGACTTTCCTGATGACCAGTGAGGTGCTCAGGGCCAACTGGTGGGCTTCCACCTTTGCAGATTCCAGTGAGGCCTCCAGAACATCCTTGAAAATCAGGTCAATTTTCTTCTTCTTGGCTTGGGGGTGTACGTCCCCCTCATCAAAGCCACGCTTGTAGGGACTTTTGCCCTGTCTCAGCACAGGGAGATGAATGGGACCCCTCAGGTCTTCTGGGTTATCCAGAGCCTGCTCAGACTTCTCCCTCTGCAACCTCTTCTCTCCTAGGAAGGAAAACCAGGGTGTAAGGAAGTGGGGAAAACCCCCAAATTGGAGAAACCAACAGAAAACAAAGCAGGCCACCTGTTAGGTCACCTGACACATCCCTCTACATCTGGGCTTGTGGGGCAGGTGTTGCAAAGGGGAGATATGAATCGCTCAGTGGACCATCAGAACTAGATTCATAGGACCTGAACGGTGGAAAGACCTTTTATAAAGAGACAGTTTCCGAGAAGCTTCACATCTACAAGCTCTACGGTTATAAGTTAAGAGAAATCTACAGGGGAGAGTAATTGAACATTCTTTCCAGTGACCCTAGAAGGCAACATCCCACTTAATCACACTGGGTGGTGGGAACATACCTCAGAGCCAAGTGAGTATCAACTCCCCCAACCTTTGCAGCTTCCCCTCAGCCCTAGCAATGACAAGATGGCTGCTTCGACTTGGTAAAAGGTACACGTGAAACACCATAGGCCTCACTCCTTCCTCCTCCTTCGTTGCTATGGAGACAGCCCACTTAAGGCAAAGTCAATCCTTTGGCAACTGTCCTTTCTAATTCTCCCAGCAATCAGCAGACTAGGAACATGTGAGAAAGCATGATCTGAACTTCTGTAGTTCTCACTGATGACTAAGGGCAGAGGAAAGGGGAAGACAAGGAGACCTATGGCGCTGAGGGCTCCAACATGACAGCCTCTGACAAGATAAAGGACAAGGTATCCACAATGACCCAAAAAAAACAGTCTGGAAATATAGCTGTGTCTCCTTACTTGGCAATTCAAAGGACGTTTCCTCACCTATTTCTTTTTATCATGTGAATTACTTCAATTCACTTTGAATTACTTTCAATTGTTTCAAATACTTTGGTGAGCTCCTCAACCATAAATTATTTTAGACTGATTCCTTGTTTTTAATTTTATTTTTTGAGACAGAGACTCACTCTGTTATCCAGGCTGAAGTGCAGTGGTGCTCACGCAGCCTCCACCTTCCAGGTTCAAGTGATCCTCCCACCTCAGCCTCCCAAGTAGCTGGGACTACAGACGCACATCACCACACCCTAAGTTTTGTATTTTTTGTGGATATAGGGTTTCGCCATGTTGCCCAGGCTGGTCTCGAACTCCTAGGCTCAAGCGATCTGCCCACCTTGGCCTCCCAAAGTGCTGGGATTACAGGCATGAGCCATGGCACCCAGCTAGCATGATTCTTTAAAATTACCAACATAGTTTCATAAACTGCTACAGAAGTGCTGATGCTTCCTGGTGAGAGATGCTAAAAAGGCAGAGGAATCTCTTCAGCCCTTAGAGGGTCCTGAAAGTAGCCCACGGAACTCAGAAATCTCAAAGGTTTCCTAGACCAGATGCAGGGGCCCTGGGTGATGTGCCACTGAACAATGACTTGAACTAAGCTGTACTTAGGCTTTTGATGGCTCCATTTGCCAAAGGCTTCTGAGTGAAGGCCAAGGGTTTGCCGTAAGCAGTCCAGATGTTCCATGCCTGGTTTCCCGTAGCTGGCACGGGTGTTGTGCCCTGCCACATGTTTAACTCCAGGTTTCCTTTAGGTTACAGCACAAAAGGAAGTTATCTATTCAGGATGCACCTTTTCTGTCCTCACATGAATACTTAAGGAACAACTTTATCTCCAAGGCTTCTGGAATTCAGCAGCTCCCCACAGCCTGCACTTCTATATCAGCTGAGCTGCAGAAAGGGGAGAGATGGAGATAACTTGAAAATGCAACCTGTATGTCTTACAGATCAGATGCAGCACTTGCCCATTGAAAATCTCTAAAAATCAAGACCCACATTTGCCTTTTGTCATGGGACCATCAGGTAGCAAACAGCTGAAGACATCGAGAAGTCAAGCCTACAGATCGCCAGAGATTCCTCATCATTGTTTGAAAACAACGTTGTTCAAATTTCTTAGTATGAGCAGGGGATCTCTGTGGACTTACGGCTTCAAGAAACATCTATGGGCCAAAAGAAACCTTTAAGCATCATGAAATTGCTTCCAAAGCCTCCATACAATATGGAAAACAGAAACAAAGGAAACCTCAAAGTAAATTAATGAGTCAAAGTAGGTCAAATCACATAAATTGTTAGAATGTGAGCTTTAGATGCAATCTATTCTTAAAAGGAATAACCACAAAGGAATAGTTTACACTGTCTTCAGGAAGACTTCTGGCAACAACCAATAATATCCCTACTTAATAAGAACGAATAATTCATTCTCTGGCCTCCATCAGGGTGCCAACCTCCAGTTACAAAGAAACCTCCTATGTAAGACCATGAGTGATTGGGCATAGGGAATCTCCCTTTCAGAGCAGCACTGGCACACCAATCTGGGACACCACTAAAAGTACCCGGAGTCCGCTGAAGTTACAGGCTACAGAGGCACACATTTAAAAGCCACTGAGCTCCATGACCATTCCCAAGGGCTTCAGGATCACCCACAGCTGTGGAACTGCCCCACTGTAGCTTTCAATTTCCTTCCTATTTCCTACTGCTCAGCCTGACCAGGAATAGACCCTCTTTCCTCCTGCATCTTCATATGTCTCAGTGTGTCTCCTTTCAAGTCTGTCTGACACACCTCATTTGAACCACTCCAGAAAGCTCACACCCTTCTCTGAGCAGTCCCCTGTGGTCTTGGGGCTCATGAGGATGATGCAGCTTCAGGTGCTCTGGAGAAGACCACTGGGGGAAGAAAAGGACATCACAAATCCAGAAGAACGCAAGAAGGTTATGACTAAGGGACGAAATTTGTGTTCTCAGATATGATTTCTCTGGGTTTTCTTTTCTTCTAGTGGTATGATTCTTTGGGAAGCTTCTTGGCTGTCTTCATTCATTTCTTCTTTCATCCATTCAACAAAGACTTATTGAGTCCCTAATATGTATCAGGCACTTTTACATGAGGCATCTCCAGAGGTCACATGGAAACCACTGCAGCCTCATCATGGAAGCACGCCTTGCCAAGTGAAACCAACATGTGCCCAACCCTGAGATCCAAAGAAGACAAGAAATGAGTATGTTTATGGGGTCTCCTTTTACTGCCCATCATCTCCAGATACCTTTTACCAAGTCAGGCAGCAGCTGTGCACTCAATGTCCACAGTTTGCTTTGTTCTGTTTTGCTTTTAAAGATAGCTTAGCTTGAATAGGTCACTCCCACCCCCTTTTCGTCTTCTCCCCTCATATTCCAAGTGAAGATTTATTTCCAATTAGTAAGTTGGTCAGGAACACGATACAGTGAGGCTTGGGAACAGCCTTGGTTTCTGGCACCAGATAGACTCTAGGTATTTGGACGTGTGGTTTTAGTGTTAAAAAAAACCCTTGAAAGAAGGGCCTGGACTCACCAGTCTACCCTGGGCAGGATGAGGATGGAATAAAAGGGTAAAGGACTAGAGGCTGAGAGTAGTTAAACTCTCTTCTTACGCTGAGAAGCAGTAAAACTGCTTCTGAATGGACACCCAACCCACCCAGCTTCCCACACCTAAGTCACCCTCCCACCTCCTGCCAACCTTCTTCTTTTGATAGATATTGTTCTTTCACCTCATCTCATTAGGACTGCAGTAGAGACACCAGGAGGAACCAAGGAGGGGACAGGTTTTTTCTGGGACACCAGGTAACATTGGAGGTCAGAACTTAGACCTTGAAGTCAGACTGATATGGATTAGAAACCTAGTTCTGTCCTTCCTAGCCAGGTGACCCTGGATGAATCACTGTATTCATTTGATATTTGGTTTGCACATCTGTAAGATGGGTAAAAGAATCCATGTGGGATCATGAGTATTAAAAGTTTATAGTTGAGGACTTCTGATGATGGAGGCGGGCATCGTCCTAAAGGCCACATGTCCACGACTCCATCTAATTCTCAGGGTACACTGACAGGGTAGGGACAGCTGCTATGATGATTACATGGAAACATGCAGAAAATCTGCTCACAGGTTATGGAAAATATATCAACACCAGATATTGTAGGTAACTGAAAGCTCATCTCTTCTACTCTTCACTAATTTCTAACCACAGGGGTTCCCAGATACCCAACAAGCCTCTGATGGTGGTAGAGTGGGGTCCTTGAACTGTTGTCAGTATTTCACATAATGAGTATTTAGTAAATGTTACCTGTTATTGCGATCATTATTGAGGGAGTAGCAGTGTGTAACATCTTTTCATCAACTGGAGTTGGGGAAATAGGGTATATTTTGATTAAATACATTTGGTTGGCTTTGGGGGCTTATCTCTGTCATGGATACTCTGAAATGTGTGTGGTAAGGATTTCTGAGACCATAGGGGAAGAGAACATGCTGGGGTGGCCCCTGCCTGACCCAGAGCTGCTGCTCAGACCTCAACCATCTGTTCCCCCAAATTACTCTGGGTCTTCCCATTGCTGGGAACTGTATTTCCCATTGGTTTTCTCAGGAAGCTCCAAAAGAAGCTATCCAGGCCTCCCCTGGGGCTCAGTGGTGGGCACAGTCCTCGTGGAGCATGGCACTCACCTCTGGCCAGGTTGCGGTGGATGGTTTCCTGGGACATGCTGTGCAGGCGCTTCATGTAGTCCTCGCTGTACCAGACCCGCAGCCACTCCCCAGGCCGGATGTCCCTGCATGCCCGGAAGTAGATGCGCTCACTGTGCTGGAACGCCAGCAGGTTCTGCTCCCTCTCCTCCCGAGAGATGACCACGTACCTAGCAGGGAGGGGAGAGAGATGAGAACGCATGGGCCACCCTTTGTTGAGTGCCCGCTGGTGCCAGCCCAGTGCTGGGCAAGTGTGGTTGGTTAAAAGTCCACAGACATGTGGTCCCGTGTGAACATCGGCAGAGCAGCTGCCCTGTCCGGAGAAGTAGCACTGGCCAGAACCCATCCCTGTCCCAATGTCACTGTGTTGTGGGACCTCAAGCAGACCTCCAAACCTCTAAGAATCTCTGTTTTCTGAGACTGGATATGACACCTGCCCTGCCTGCCTCACAGTATATGGAAAATATATCAACTAGATATTATAGGTGATTGAAAAACTGAAAGGTCATCTCTTCTACTCTTCACTAACTTTTAACCACAGGGGTTCCCAGATACCCACAGGCCTCTGATGGTGGTAAGGCTGGGGTCTTTCAACTGTTTCCAGTATTTCACAAAGCCTAGCTCAAATAGCCCATGTGACAAGGTGTCCAACAGATCAATTAATAAATGCTAAAGATCAAAATCTTTAAAAAATGGGGGCTCCAGTGGGGACAGGGGAGGAAGGTAAATAAGAGACTACAGAAGGTTGACAACCACTGGTTAATCTTACTAAATGATTTTAAGATAAGGAGACTGAGGCTCAGAGAGGCCAAGCGACTTGCCCAAAGTCACACAGCTAATAAATGGGAGATGAAGCTTTGAGTCCTATGCACGTTTCCCACTGTAACTCATGGCTCCTATGTGGGCATGTAAAGCACCAACTTGGCAATGACCAGAAAACCTTTAAAGTTCTGTCAAACCCTCAGATTCTATGGCCCTCGCCCATTCTCACTGAAACAACATTTGCAACATCCAGCCCACCACCCTACCCACCTCCAAAAGGTGAGATGAGGGAACACCTGCTGAGGAGAGAAGGTGTACAGATCAGAACGCAAGAGGAAATTAGTTGGCGTTTTAGGGTTCTGAGATACACAAGCATCTAGGAAATTTGTAGTAAAAAATAAACTTAGTTCTTTATGTGATGGTTTATCTCATAAACCAGGGACAATAATCAAAGTCCATCTGACTGGTGTAGTCCAATGAATTATATCTGGAAAAGTCCAGGGGAAACAAAAATTCACAGAATAATTCAAGTGGATAATAAACAAATGAAAAGTATTCAGCATCACTAATAAAAGAAACACAGCATAGCACATTGTCTCATTGGCACAGATTTCTAAAAGATGATAATATCTCTATTGGTAAAGGTGGTACGAAAGGTGTCTCCTGTACTGATGATGTAGAATTAACAGGTGTAACCCTTTAGGAAACAATGTGGCAACATGGCTCAAGAAACATTTACAGATGAAGTATGCAAACCCGGCATGCCACTATGGTGACTTGTATCATTGTGTATAGTAGTACAAAGGCAAAACATTTAAATGTCTAATACTAGAGAAATGATTTTATAAATGATGCTACATTTATACAATGGAATGCTACTCATCTATAGAAAAATGTTTTCAAAAAATCTTTTATGACATGGAAAGATGGTGTTGAAATAAGACAGTGTGAGAACAATAGGACTGGAAGTATTTAGACTATGGTTCCAATAATGCTTTAAAAACAAGCCCCAGTAAACAACTTGAAGGAAATATACCAATATTTTAACAGTGACAACCCCTTATAGGTGGATCATCTTTGTAATTTTGCATACTTTCAAAGTTTCCCTCAATAAGCAAATATTACTGTCACCCACCTCACCTCTGACACACACACAAAGAAAAGAAATATATGAATGTCAATTCCAGTATGAGGTGACAGTGGTGGCAGCTAGCAGCATGGAGAATCTACATTCTAGAGGTCCCAGGGATGGCACCAGCTGCCCCTCATCTATATCCTGCCTTTCTCATCTGGAGAGCCTGGGAGGAGGCTGTTGCCTTCCAAGGAGGATCACTGGAGTCCAGGGAACAATCCATTCTGGCAAGAGGATGCTGCAAGACCTCAGAAGGAGTAAGACCAAGGCGAATGGGAGAGCAAATGTTGGCTTTGGCTGCTTCAACCTTTTGAGAGAAGTAAGCCACAGGCTCCACCGTGGAGGTGTAGAACTTGCAGGATTTACAGTGCTTAGATCCCCCAGAATTTGCATCTTGTCCTAGGTCTGTGTTCTCTGTTAGCCCCAACACATCGGTGTTCTTATCAGCATCGGATATAAGCATCGCTATCTCTGAGTAGTGAAGACCACACGGTGATTTCCACGCATCCAGCCGTGATGTTATTAACAAAGGACATAAGAGAAAGGAAAAGAGACCCTCCTGGCTGACAGAAGTTGCTCCAAATTAATAATTCCCGATCTCAATTCTACAACTGTGAGTCAGACTTTTCTCCATAGCTGAGATTTCTTCTGAATATGCAAAATATTTCCAGTCCCCAATTTAGTGAGAGTCTAGGATTTGACATCCAAAAATAATCAACCTTGCAGTTAGCACAGAATAGAAGTTGTTCCAAACTTTCCTGCTCCCAGATACGAAAGGAAAACCATTCATTCATCTTTTTCTCACAAGACTCACTTGAATCACAGAGCACCAGGATTGGAGAATACTGTCTTCTCCTTTTTTTTCTTCCAGTTTCTAAACAACCACCAAGCTCTAAAAGCTAGAATTATTTCTCTGACAGTCAACATCAAGAGAAAAAGCTAGATGAGAAATACATTCCTATCATGGATTTATTTATTCAAAAGAGCAACTTCTAGGGTGTGTCAAAAGGTTTAGAAAGACTCAAGTCAATTTCTCTTTCCATCTTCTGGTCTTTTTCTATCCATCAAGAATCAATATTTGGAAAGCTAACCTCAAGGCATTGTATAAATCACAAAGTATTTTCAAAGGCAGATCAACACTTATTCAGATTTTGTTGTATTTGGGTGTTCCGAAACTTAGCATTTAAACTATGATATATATGACAACTCTTGGTGAATCACAACCCATTCCCCTGACAAGATGTTTATGTTATATCATTTAAGAGGTAAAGCTAAATGGAGCCAGTTAGGTCCCCGAACCTGTTACCTCTAATTAGATCTCCTGCTTTTAAGTATTTTGCCTTAACACATGCTGGCTTGAGCCACTCCCCAGAACCCTTCTGTTCCCAATCACAACAGCCCCTTTATGAAGAACTGTGCCTGTTCCATTCATTACATGGCTGCGGAAAGCAGAAGCCCTCCCCAAGGAGTGGAAGGCTACCAGGAGGTGCAAAATCTATCCATTGTGGCTGAGCAGCTCTTTGCAAGGAGGTTTGAGGAGCTACCTCTTGAGAGAAGGCACAGAGAATGCCTGGCTGAGGCTGTTCTGCAAATGCTAGCGCTTATTGAGGCATTTCAACTCCAACCCACAGAATTTGGGACCTTTGGAGCAATCAAGGGGAAGGTGGTGGTGCTGCTGATGGCGGTGGAGAGCTCTGGACTAAACCTGTCATGATGATCCTGGATTGTTTTTATTCCAACCTCCCCGATGACCCTGGGGACTGGATAGGTAAGTACTAACACAACAATTCTCAGACCTCACCCACTGTGTCCTATCAAGTGCATCATATTTTCTAGCTGGGTTAGGACATGACTATTGGTTCCAATGCAAAAGAGAACATAACACAGGGCATCCATTTTGCTGGAGGGAATCAACTAGGCCAGGCTCAGACACTACTGCTTAATGGGTATCTTCAATAGAAAGGAAGCTGCCCCAATTAGGGAGGCAGAACTAGGAAAAGACTGACCGAGAAGAGGCTGGGCTCAGTGTTCTCACATGCATAGGTCTCCGGGCTAGGAGGGGCTTTGGGTCACACATCCACCTGGTCATGGCTACAGGCCTCCCTCTTCCAATTCATTTCTGTCTCTCATCCAAGTTTCCTCTCCCTGTTTTAATGTGCTAACCCCACAATCCCCACTGAAGCCAAGAAACAGAAACTGAAAATCTTTTCCATCCCAATTTGACAAGTCCTCACTGTCCCTTTTTCTCTGACTTCCATTTCAGTTTTACAGCTTCCAATTCAGTCCCTTCCCTCCCCAGGAACAGAGAGAGCAGCCAGCCAGTCACTGCTTCATACATTGACCTTGGGAGAGAAGGCCCTGGGAATGGTTTCATGGCATCTTTGCATCTCTCGAAAATTGGGTAGTCCTTCATTTCTATGGCCATGCTTTTTGACTAAGAACTGCGGAGGATGGCCTGGATTTCAAGAGGCCAAAGGTAGGTTAGAACCTTCTAGAAAGGGGATCTGTGGGCAAGACTTGGGGATTTCCTGCCTGAGAGAAGCTTTCTGGGACTGGCATTAAGCCAGAGCAATGCACAGGTGAGGAGGCTTGCTCTTGGCAGAGGAGGCCGCTTTGGTTACTTTGAGAAGCCTCCGATCTAGGTGGGCAGAGCCTTGCCAGTGCCAGACACACAGACACCTGGATTGGTGGGGAGGGTCACGCCTCAGGGGGCCCCTAAAGTGCGCACTGGCACATGGACAGCCCCTGACCCCTCTAGAGCCTCCTCTCCGAAACGGTAATTGTTTTACCAGAATGTCTCACTTACTTTTAGGGAACAAAAGGTAAAATTGACTTAGCAATACCTCACTTTTGAAGAGCAGAGAAATGAAATATAACTGAGTGGTTTCGTGCATGGATGCTCCATCCCTTAAGCTTATGCAAGCCCTTCCTTTCCTCCGAGGGCCTGGCATGGTGCTGGATACAGGGAATCTGGCAGTTTATAGAATCAGGGAAATCAAGGGGCACTCAAGCCCTTCTCACCAACATGCTTTTCCTTAATCATCTAATCCCTGCTTTGGGGACCTTGAGGTTTTCACAGGAAACGAAGAAAGAGAATACACACCAAAGAAAGATCCTGGACACTGGGTGTGTTCAAAGAGTGAGATCGATTTCTTTTTATTGCCATCTTAACAAAAATACTTCGGAAGGCAATCTTTGATTCCAGCATAGGAGGCCGGGCAATTCCAGGCAATAATTAAGCCATCGGGCTGTTGGACAGGAGAGTGTTCAGTTTGAGGGAAGTAGGAACCCCCAAAAAACCACAGAATGGGGAGATGGAGCCAAAGGCACAGGGACATTGCAGTCACCTTCCATTCTCCCTACGTGGGACAAAGCTTGGCTTGGGTTTACAAGCAGCACTCCAGGAACGGCCTTGGAAGGCACTGGGTGCTGCAATCCTCCCAGCTCCTACTACGGCTGGGGGCAGGATGGGAGGGTGAGGGTGGGGGGTTGTTGGGTGGAGGGATTGACTGGGGGACTTCTGCTGGGGTCAGCTTCAGGTCAGGGGAAAAAAAGGACACACAGCTGAGCTGCACCCAGGTCAGAGCTAAGCTTGTATCTGCCACCTGCCACTTCCCTTTCTAATGCTAAGAACCCAGTTTTCTCCCCACACTCCAATATGAAACATGAAGCTAGAGGTGTGTGTAGCTAGTGCATAGGCAGCCCGAGCAAGCAGAGGCAAGGCATGCTGGAACCTGGAATGGGACATGAGCCCTACTGGGCTCTGGATTCTTTCAGAAGCCAGGGAAGACGCTGCCCTCCACTCCTGAGATCTGGCCCTGCCTCTCCCAGCCACTGGCTATGAGCCATAGGGCCAGGGCAGGGTGGGAGAATCACCTGCTAAATGCTAGGTGCCTCCCACCTCCACCGAGGACAGCTGAGGCAGGAGCAGAGATACAGGAGGCAGAGGCCTGGCAAGGGGCAAGGCCCGCCCCCCGCCCCCTTCCCACTACTCCAGATCTGGCCTCTGACAGAGGAGCTGGGAAAACTGACACCCTGGCTTCCAGTCCTGGCCCTCTCACTAACTGGCTGTGTCATTTGTCTTACACAGATGATGATGATAAAAATGATCATAATAATACCTGACTTGGCTGCCTCGAGCTGACTGTCCTGAGCCCCCACTGAGACCACCCCTCTGCAAGGGCGAGGAAAAGCATAAAGTGCTCTCTATGAATGCAAGACAGTCTTTTCCTTCCTCCGACGTCATCCCGTTCTTCTCCCCACTCCAAAAAAGGCAAGCACAGCAGCTGAGCACGCGCACAAGGGCAAGCGGAGGGCCAAGGCAGGCACCACCCCAGGGCAAGGGAGGGCAGACCCCTCCCTGAAGGACTGACTCAATCTGTCCATCAGGCCTCAACCCCTTCAAAAGCAGCAGCATCAGGGCCTGGGAGGTTACGTGTGGGAGGCCGATACAGCAGCCCCAAGGTTGGAAAGCGGGATTTCATTCGGATGCTCCCCACTGTTGCACCCCCCCTCCCTGCAAGGCCTGCCGCCACAGGACACAGACCAAGAGGAGAACGATCTCCAGGCCAAGCAAGCATCAAGCAGGTGGCTTTTCTTGCATCTTCAGCATCCGCCAAAGATGAGGGTGCGGGGCTGAATACATGCTCTGTTAGAGCACAGGCAGCGACCTGCGCTCGGTGAGGAGGTGACAGCGCCCCCAATGTCCTACAAGGGTCATCGATCCTGTTCCTGGACACGACAGACTGGCCCCTGTTGTGAGGCCAGACATCCCTCCTCCATGGCTCTTCCTCCTAGTGCAGACTAGCTGGGTTAGAAATTGTGCTTTCTCTTCCGAGACCTGGTAGTCCGTGTGGGGGCTGATGCTGGGGAAGCTGCCGGGGGCTCTGGCAGGGGGGCTTGGGCCTGGGTGGCCTGGGGAGTGCAGCCCATAGGAACTGCCCCTTCTGGCCCCCGCTGAGATGCCTGAACCCCATCCCGGATCTCTGTCAGCGTCTGGCACATCTGACCAACGCGGCTGGTCAGCTCAGCCATGGCCTGGCCGATGACGTGCATGCTGTTGGCCATGTCCTGGTGCACGGTCACCAGCTCCTGGCAGAACTGCCGGAACACCTCGGTCTGCTGGGCATGGACGTGGAGGAGCTGCCAGTCAAGGCCCGTGGTGGGTGGGCTGGGGTGCGGCCGAGGGGTCCTGCAGGCAGCCTGGGCCTGGGGTGAGGGATGGGGCAGGGCCTCTGGCTTGGGGCCCACCGTCTCAGACTGGTCTGAGGAGGAGGATGAACGGAGCAGGGCGGGCCTGGCCAGGTGGGCCTCTTCCTCCGGAGACTGCTGCAGAGGCACCCGAAGAGGCTGCCTTGAGGGCCCAGGCGCCTCCTCATCTTCATCATCTTGGGGGACAGAAACAAAGATGGAAAAATGGTTACAAAAGGCAGAAGGAGGGAGGCCCGGGGGTTGGCCCTGCCCCTGAAAAACACCTGAGTAATCCCCTGCCCTGCCACCCTACAGTCTAGTTTGGCCCCCACTCATAGAGAAATCACTGTTCCCCAAATCCCTGAGGTGCGTGGGCCCAGCACCCCTGGGGGGAAGTTCCTCTTCCTCTCACGGAACAGCTCCATTCTAGTGGGAAAGAGCCCAGGCCAGGGGACTTGGAGACCGCAGCCCAGCGGCTGTGTGCCGACCCAGCAGCTCCTGACCTCAGCAGTCACTTCATCTCTCTGCAACTCACTTTCTGCAATGATAACAACTGCCCTGTTTACATGTCCAACGGCTTGGCTACCTAATTGGGTTGTTAAGAAGAGTCATAAACAAGATGACAAACATGAAGGTGCTCTGCAACACTGAAGGAGCAGCACCTGCCCAAAGGTACTATGAAGCTCTCGGCCCTCTGAGCGCCGGCCTCTCTGAGGCCACGTCTGCATTGCTTGGGGCCATCTTGTGGCCTTGCTGGAATCTGCACCCTTTTTTTCCATAAGTTATTGGGGTACAGGTGATATTTTGTTACATGAGGAAGTTCTTTAGTGGTGACTTGGGAGATTTTGGTGTACCCATCACCCAAGCAGTATACACTGCACCATATGACGCAAAGGCATAAGAATGATACAAAGGACTTTGGGGACTTGGGGGGAAGAGTGGGAGGGAGGCGAGGGATAAAAGACTACTAATATGGAATATGCACCTTTGAATCACCACAGCGGATGCTGACAGGCTGAAGAAACCGGCAGGACAGTGCAGAGCAGGAAAGCTACCTCTGCAACCAGCCCTGCTGTCCCCCTGTCCCCCAAGGCAGGCTTCCAGTTCAGTCACATCGTGCTCCCACCCAGGAGCATCTGACCACACAGAGGCCATTGGACAGACTGCTCCTTGCAGCTGGACACAGGGAGGGGGGCCCAGCCTCTGCACATGTGGGTCCTGCTTTCTAGTGACCAAGGGTATGGGCTAATCCCTGTGGCAGGAATAAATAATGTATGGACTGACTCTACTGACAGGCAAGCCCTCCCTGCCTGGATCTGAGGGCTCAACTCAGAACCACCCCCCAGGAAGGTGATGGGGAGGACAGACAGGTTTATCCTACAGTTACCTCATACCTCCCAGGGATCCTGGGGGCTCACTTGGGCCACCTTGGTAGGAGCCCTGTGTCTCTTGGCAGTGCTTGGTGGGACAGCAGCCATCCCAAGATCCCAGAGACCTGTCTAACATGGCCAGTGTTGGAAGGAGTGAGGCCTGGCGAGGTGATGCTGCTCCCTCCCTCCCAGGTCCCCGTTCTGCAAAGCCCCTGGCCGAGTGCTGCCACAGCTGGCTGCTGCCGGGAAAGGGAGGGCTGTGAGCCTGCCATGGGGTCAAGCAGGCTCTGCCCGATGGCACAGTCGGGCTCCCTGTCAGCCCAGGTAACCTTTGGTGGCCTCACTACATTCAGTTTCAGGGAGTTGGAGGGGTGAGCAGAGCAGGATGCAGGGAACAGGCTTTACTGGATGCTGACCCCCCATTTATTCTTATCACGGGGTAGAATCCTCTTAAGACTTAGGAAAACGCTGATTCACAGGAAGCCAGCACACCCGGGTTCAAGTCCTGCTTCTGAATCGAGCTTGGGGCCACTGTGGTTTTTAGAGCTTACTTTCTGCATTACAAGAAAGTTGAACTAAATGGTCTCCATGTTCTTTTCCAGTCCTAAACATCTGACTCTGTGAACCACCACCTGTCAGGAGCCCCAGCCAAACAGGAAGCGAGCAGATCCTGATGGCAGGGGGCCCGGGAAGGGAAGGCGCAAGGGAGTCTTTGCGAAGCACCTTCCCACGGGCTGAGCCACGGCCGCTTCCCTGGGGCCTCTGCTGCCTGGCTCCCACCACTCACGAGCTGGTCAGGCAGACGGCCTCTAGTGGGGACTGCAGCTGGTGGGGGGCGGGGGAGATGTGCAGAAGTGGAAAGAAAGGGGTGCAGCCCCTGCAGAGGCCTCGAGTACTCCCCCTTCTGCTGAGCCCCAACTACAACTCCAGCCCCAAGGGACACCCGCCTTGGCCGCTGGGGCCCTGGCTTCAAAGTGCATGTGAGACACAGGAAGTAGAGAGGAAAGGCAGGGACAAGTACAGAGGGAGAAGAGGGGTGGGGAGCCGGTAGGGGAGCAACCGGGAGGATGGAGAGGGAGCTGAGAGGCAGCCGTAGGGCAGGCAGAGAGAGGCAGCACACAGAGAAGGGGGGGCAGCAGCGTGGCTCAGGCAGGGGAGTAAGGAGAATAATAGAGGAACAAAGCAGTCAGGACCAGGCACAGAAAGGAACTGATCTTTCCAGGGCCCAGGCCTTCACAGCTTGGCCGCCTCGTCTCCAGCCCCCTCCCCCGCACTGCTACACTTGGGCTTTCCTGGCTTCTCACTGTTCATGGAACGTGCCAAGCGCCTTCCTGATGCGGGGCCTCGTACATGCTGTTCTCTGCCTGCGCGCCTCCCCTCCCCTTCTCCGCGCCCCACGCTGCTGCCTGGCCTGGTTAACTCTTACCCTTCACATCCCAGTCCACTGGACTTCTTCAGGGAGCCTTTCCCAGCCCCCAGTGACGCCAGTTTTCCCCACTCCTTAACTCTCAGACAGAGCTGCTAGGTTACCCACCAGGTCAAATGCAAAATGAAAACGTGGGGCCCCTGGCTCAAAAACTATGAAGAATGTCCAGATGGCGACAGCAGAGCCTGAAACCCGGTGGCCCCTGAGACTGTTCAGGTTGCATGCTCATGAAGTCAGCCCTGCTCTCAGGACCTCCTGGACTCCTGTGTCCTTCATCTCTTTGTTACCAGTTTACTCGTGCAATTATTTAAGGTTGGTTTATTCCTAGGAGTCCAGGGTCTCCCCAAGAGCAGGGCCTGTGTGGGGTTTACACACAGCTGTCTTCCCAGCTCCTAGCATGGCTCTGGCACAGAGATGCTCAGTAAATATTCTAGAATGAATGCACAAAAAGGGATGGAGAGGAGATGAGTGGGAGAAGGAGGGGAGGATGGAAAGAGTGGGCTGGACAGAGAGGGACAGGAGAGAACCAGAAGGAAAGTTGGTAGGAGACTGTGGAGTGTAGGCTGGGGGGCAGGCGGCCGCCGGGCGGAGGGGGACTGGTGATACTCACAGCTGGTCGAAGGGCTGTCGGTGCCATCCAGTTCCGCCCTGGGGAAGCCGTGCCCTGCATGGGCTGTGAGCAGCGCCGACTCGATGGCCCTCTCGTGGGCCGTGAGCACGATGGTGGGGGCCCGGCCCCCAGCCCCAGGGCCTGACAGGGACTGCTGCATGAAGGCCAGCTTGTCCTTGGTCCTCCGTTTCATGTCATCCCATCTGTGCTTAATGTCCTTGACGGAGCGGGGCACCTGGCTGACGGAGGTGATTTTCCGGGCTATGCCTTCCCAAATCTTGTCCCTGTCAGCATGGGACAGCCGCATGGTCTCCCTCCCAAAGAGCACTGCTTCGTGATGAGTCACCTCTGTGACAAGAATGTCCAGCTCCTCCTTGGAGAACTTGGGCTTCCTCTTACGCTCGGCCAGGTGTGCCACATTCCTTGGGTTGAATATCCCACAAAGCACAATTGGGTAAATGACCGTCAACGCAGGTGGTCCTCCTCCTTTCTAATTGCTGGCCCCCAGCTGGGGAGCCAGGAGGCATCTGGGGCAACCTGGCCCCCACCACACCCTCCTCCTACTGAGCGGTCCCTTCCACTACTCCTTGGAGGGGAGGGTGGAAAGAAGAGACGCGTTACGTGGGAGGGAGCACTGAACTCAGAGTCAAAGGCCTTGGTTTCAGGGCCTGCGTTAGCTCTTACTGGCTGTGAGAGCTAGGGCAGTTCAAGTCCAACCTTTCACACTATACTCTCCCTGTCCAGAATAATAACCACAACCCTTCAGGGTTATTACTAAGGAGGGGAAAACATCATGATGTAAGGGGCTTAAAAATCTCTTAAAGGTAGCAATAAAGGATCTTATTGAAATTGGGATTAGACCATTGTCTCTGTAAAGCGGTATTACCTACAGCCCTACAGCTGAATGAATGGCTCAGAAGAATACATAACCAGGGATACTATTTACACTGGGCTGCCATGGGATGTAGCAGTGACAATGCCATGATTAAGGTGTGGCCACAGAAAGCTGATTCTGCCCAGTGGCTCTCTTCGCCTACCCCTTCCCTATCCCAGTCAGTTCTCCAAGCCCCCACCTTTGCATATGTGCAGGAAAACAGGTTTCCTTCCCATGGGAGTGCTTTCTTCTGCTGTGGCTTTTTGGTAGAATTTGAGAAGCCCATGACTGTCCTGGGGGAGACAAGTTCCACTCTGGTGGACACCAGGGGGACCTGGGATTCCCTCTCAACTGAGCAGCTAGAGGCCCTGGGCAAGGGGCATAGCATGGCCCTTCCATTTCACTTGGCTCCTACTCTGGCTTTGGAACTCGATTTCTCCACATCGTGGCTCTGTCACCCTTTAACTAGTGATAAAAGGTTAAAAAATCCACCCAAGAGAGGACATGAGGGTATGGAGGAAAGCTCAGAGCGCATTCACTCCTTGGTTTCCTTCTGAAACCAAGAGGGGAAGGCCGGCGGCACCAATATCCTTTAGCCCTCACCTTCCTACTCATGCACCCAAAACACCAGGGCCCAGAAGATGGGAAGAAGGCTGGGGGCCCAGTCCAAGATGGTCGCAGGAACATGGGACTAGACCTGGGACTAGAGACTGAGTCTCCTTGGGCCAAACCATGGGACTCATGTGAACCCAGCCTCCTTCTCCATAAAACTAGGGTGATAATTCCAGTGTCACTGCCCAGGGCTATCAGGAGGACTTCATGTGGGTTTCTCAATCTTGCCACTATTGGCAGTTGAGGCTAGATAATTTTTTGTTGGGGGGAAGGGGTGTCCTGTGTAATACAGGATTTTATCAACATCTTTGGCTTCTACCTGATAGCATCCAACGACCAAACATGTCTCTAGGCCTTGCCAAATGCCCCCGGGGCACAAAATAGTGCCCAGTTGAGAATCACCACAGACAGATCACCTAGCATAGGGCTTCATAAAGATAAGCTCAACACGACAGCACCCGTTCCCCTCCTCGCCCACCATTAATTTTGTTAAGAAACTAACTGATTCCATTCAATCATCCCCAAGTAGTGCCATGACAGTACAAGGAAGAGCATCTGCAAATCAGAAAGAGCTACACCACAGAAGCCGGACATGAAGGGGAAGGAGGATTCCCAGGATTAACAGCTTTCCCTCCAACACCAACAGGAGGGGTGTCTCCATGGCAACGAACTGCATCCCCAACCCCAACCTGCTCTTTGAGCCGTCATAAGACGAGAGCCCACCAGCTGTGACTACCCAGATGCCATCTTGAATCAGGACAGGCTGGGAGCAGAACAGGGCAGATACCATGCTAGCAAGTGGCAGTAGCAGAAACCCCCAAACCCCTGCTCACCAGTGCCCATCCAGGCCCAGGAAGTCATGCTTCACCTGTCCCTTGTGCACAAGCAGGAAGAACACTGACCTAGGATTACAGAGCAAGAAGTTCAAATCCTGATTCTGCTACCCTGACTGTATGCTCTTGAGCAAGACCTTGCCCTGCCCTCAGTTTGACCACTGTGGCATGAAGATCTGTACGGAGCAGTGGTTCTCAATGCTAGCAGCACATCAGAATCACTAGCTTTAAAAATACCAAGGCCCAGGGCCCATCTCCAGCCCAATTAAGTCACAATCTGTGGGGTGCCAGAGGATAGCTAAGTTAGTTCAGATGATAACTCCCCTTCTTTGGGGTTTTGGGAAGGCCTTGTCCCCAAGGGGAAGGATCAGAGATGGGTGAAAGAGTGGAACAGATTCAGTTCTATGAGCAAATCTCCTGGCGCCTTAAAAGTAACAGCACAGAAAGCCTGATTCCCAAGTGGACACACACATGCTATCCCCTGCTTGCCTGGAGCCAGGCTGCAGCCACAGGGAAGGCAGCACAGCGGCACAGGCCGGGGTTCCAAACTGTGCAGCCGCCCAACAGCCTGACTTGACATCACACCCCAGTGTCCCCAGACACAATCCTGGCTCCTTTGAAGGCCCATGTCAACGAACCCCTCCTCTTTCACCTGGGCCCCTGCAGCACATTTGTGCCTCGGTGCAACAACTCCACTAGAAAGTCATCTCTGTGGTGGGAGGTGTGAGCCTGGGAAGGGCCAGCGGGGGTGGGGCATGGGGTGTGGTGGGGCTGGACTGGGTGATCCACCCCAGTTCACAGTCTGACTCGAACTAGGTGCTCAGTACACAGGTGATGAACTGTAAGTGCTCAGCTGACCTGGACCCCGTGGCAGTGAGAAGAGAAGGCAGTCGCAGATGTCAAGCCACCTCCCTGGGGCCACTTTCAGGGCAGTGTCTGATCAGCTGTGTGCAAGGAGCTTGGGGGCAGTGGGTGCTGTTCTCCACACTGCAAGGCAGGGGGCCCGCTCATCTCTGGAGCCTCTGTTCTGTACCCATCAAATGGCAATGAGAACACCTGCCCCAACCCATAAGAGGGCAAACGCTAAATTACTCTGGGAGGTGTGAACTGCTGCTCAGCCGCTCAGGGCGCTCTGATGAGTACAGGTGGGCAGTGGAGCCACCAGGAAGGGCACAGGAGCCCTCATCACACATTCCTCGCCTCAAACCTGTTTCTCCTCATTTGCTCAGAAAGTCTCCGAGTTTAAGACAGCACACTCCTTCTTAGGAAGCTGCCCTCTCTCCAAGCACAATCCCACCAGCAGCCTCAAGGCCCCATGGGTCACAGAACTGTGCACAAGCCAGCAGAGGGCCCCAGGTCCATGGTGTGGCTGTGCTCCTGACTCCAGACATCTGAGGCTTCCTTCCCCTCCCACCCAGATCCAAATCCCCAGTCAGTGCTCCTAGGTCCCAGAGAGAAGCCACCAAGCAGGCAACAAGGCAGGTCAGATCTCCCACCCCTGTCCACAAACCCCACCAGGCAAAGCCCCTCGCACACGACATAGACCATCAGCATCACACTGGGCCCATGGTTCTAGGCTCAGTTCAGTCATCCCTGGGTGACCCTGGGCCAGTCTCCTGCCTCCTCTGGCTGGCATTTAAGGAATCTTCTGGTGCAAACTTCTGTCACAAACACGGGAACAGCGTAAAGCTGACGCTTCAAAGTACTGAAACTTAGGCAGCAACACTGCCAAAAACTGAGCTGAAGACTGTCAGAGCCCTTTCTTCCATGGAGGCTGTTTAAACAACTGCTGGGACTGCACTGGGACAATTCTCATACCACCACTGCAGGAGCCTGCTCTGAGAAGGTGTCACAGTCCTAGGTGGGGGACATTCTCCTCCTCCTCCCTAGGAATGCTTCCAGAAGCCTGGGGCCCAGGTCCTCCAGTCACACTGGCAAGTGATCACCCCGAGGGGTCCCTGCATCCCAACAGCCTAGCCACATGCCATCCTCTAGAGCCCCCTGATGGAGGCCTAGGGGAAAAGGTGGGTCCTTCAGAGCTAGATGCATCCCAAACCCTGCAAACAGCAACCTCCAGAAGTCTCCACCACTGGAGCTCCCATAGGCCCAACACACTCCCTTGTCTCCTTTCCAGAGGCCAGGCAAGACCCCCGGGACATCAGCAGAGCAGGGCTCACCTCATCCAGTTGGCTTTGGTCTCGTCTGAGCCATCTATGGACTTATAGCGGTTGTTCTTGTCCACAATCTGGAAGAAAGAGAAAGAGTCTAGGATGGGCCATTCTAGAGGGGTTCTCATGTCCCTGGGCTCCTTCCCAACCAGGGCCCAGGGCCTGGCTCCACCTGCTCCCTCCGCCTCCCCCTGAAATGTCACCACTGCTACAGAACTGAAATGCAGGCTGGGTTCAGAATCCCTGCTACCTCCTCTCCACCCATTCCCATTCTTCTAGGGACACTGGGGATCGTATTCTCCTAGACCCACAAAGCCCTTCACAGGTGTTTTGAATTCCTGGGAGATGGGAAGCAGATGGAACCATCTCTCTCCTCTGTCTTGATGGAATACACAGCAACATGGCTGACAAGGGGCCTTTCCACTGGCGTTGCTTTGCAACCACAAAGGCTAAACCAATCCTTCTCTCTTTACAGTTTCTGTGGGAGACAGAGGCCACTGCTGGATGACTGAACATATGTGATTTGAGAGGGTTCCTCCTCTCCCCAACCTCTAAATGTTCAAGAGCCTCAGGGTTTGAAGCTGGGCTGGTTTCTCTTTTATTTCATCATCACTCTTTAATCAGAGTTCAGCTGGGTATGAAATTCTAGGCTAAGTTTTATTTTCTTTCAGCACTCTGAAGATTGCTAAAAAAGACTGCCATTGGCACAAAAGCAACAGCTGTCAGTCTAATGTTGTTCTTTTGTGGATAATCTGTCTGTGGTAAATTTTAAGACTTTCCTTTTACTCTTGACTTTCTGCAGTTTTGCTATATGGTTTTGAAGTGAAGATTTACTTTCCTGAAATTCTCCTTATTACTTGAACAACTTCCAACTCCAAGACTCATATATTTTTCAATTCTGGAAAATTCTCAGTCATCAGGCTTTTGAGTACAGCTTCTCAGTCATTTTCTCCATTCTCTTTCAGTAAAATTTCTGTTAAACATGTATGGCAAAAAAAATTAGCCAGGTGTGGTGGCTGGTGCCTGTAGTCCCAGCTACTCGGGAGGCTGAGGCAGGAGAATGACGTGAACCCGGGAGGTAGAGCTTGCAGTGAGCCGAGATCGTGCCACTGCACTTCAGCCTGGGCGACAGAGCAAGACTCCGTCTCAAAACAAAACAAAACAGAAACAAAAACAAACAAACAAAAAACGTGTATGGGAGTAACTCAATATATCCTCCATGTCTTTTAACTACTCTTCCATATTTTTCTCTTTATTATTCTGGGCACTCTCTGGAAAAATTTCTCAGAACTCTCTTCCAGTCCACTAATTATCTCTTCGGCTATGTCTAATCCAGGGTTTCTCTCATCTACTGAGGTTTTTCCAGCTTTCTTTGTTTTCTTTTTTAATGAGTACCTTTATTTTGATGAATATTTTTCATTCCCATAATTTTTAATTAGTTTTTTTCAGGTCCACACTTTTATACATCCTGCCTCTTTCTCTTTCATAATGACATGTTCCTTCTTTTTCCTTTCTAACAGCTTTATTGAGGCATCATTGACATATAATGTACAACTTGATAAGTTTTGACACATGAGCTAGATCAGGGTTGGTTCCCTGAAGACTTGGTGAAGCAGAGCCTGGGAGAACTCCTGGGAGATGGGAAACAAATGGATGGTCACCATGCCTAGACTCCTACCTAACCTGGTGCCATTCATAAGCCTCCATTGTTCTCTTCAAAGCAGCAGAGAAGCCCTTTATCAACGTGAATCAGATCATGTCCCACACCAGCTCAAAATAGCATCCACTGCACTTACAATAAAACTCATATTTATGGCCACAGCCTTCATACCCTACAGGCCTGTGCCCCAACTTACCCTGGGCCTCTCACTCCCTTTTCACTTTTCTGCAGCCTTAATGCCCTGAGGGTGAGCCTTAACATTGGTTGGTTCCACCGCCTAGAGCCTCTTTTGTCTACCCTTAAAAATGACAATAATCAGGAAATATTTCAAGCATTCAGAAATTATAAAGAATGCAGCTGACAACCCTGTGCCCATCAGCCAAAGCCAACAAAAATTAACACGAGTTATATTTGTCTCAGGCCTCTCTCTCCTTTTGCTTCAAGAAAATGCTGAGATGCAGTGGAAGACCCTCTCTGCCTCCAACTTCTTCTCTTTCCCTTCCTCCCTCCAAGAGTAACCACAATCCTGGAGACGGTGGGAAGCCTTCCCATTTTTATGACACAAGGACTTTTCAAAGAGCAACACACAGGACTGTTTGCATGTGTGTAAAGTTTACGGAAATGGCACCCAAGTGAACATATCCTTTTTCAATTTTTTCCCACTAAGCTTTGAATATGTGGTCCCTTCTTAGCTTTTGGGTCTCAGATTATGTGAGCTCCACAGAAGAAGCCTTCCCTAGCCTTGACCCTAAAGGAAGTTCTTCCTGGCCTCACCTCAACCTCCATATCCCTGGCCTATCATGGCATTATCTCTGTTACATCATCCTGTAACTTCCCTTAAGAGCCCTAATTGCAGTAAGCATGTTGTTGATATCTACTTGTCGATTTGGTAACTGACTGCCTCCCTGGCTAGACCGTAAACTAATGAGTGCAAAGCACGTGGCTGCCCTGATCACAATGGTGGCCCTGGTTCCTAACATAGGGAGGGCATGGCACATGGTGGAATACTGATTGAATGAAAGAATGATTGGATGAAGAGCCTTTTAAGTAAAAGGCAAGTAAAGGGGAAAAAATTGGCTAAGTGTGATGCTCATACATGTATTCCGATCACTTTGGGAGGCTGAGGCCAGAGAACTGCTTGAGGCCAGGAGTTTGAGACCAGCCTGGGCAACACAGCAAGACCCTGTCTCTACAAAGAATTTTTACAAAAATTAGCCAAGTGTGGTAGTGCCCAGATACTCAGGAGGCTGAGGCAGGAGGATTGCTTAAGCCCAAGAGTTTGAGGCTGCAGTAACCCATGATTGTGCCACTGTACACAAGCCTGGGTGACAAAGCAAGATCCTGTTTCTAAAAGAAAAGAAAAGAAAAGGAGAAAGAAAGAAGGAAAGAAGGACAAGAAAGGAAGGAAGGCAGGAAGGAAGAAAGAAGAAAAAATTATAAAATGTTAGGATTTTAGTAAAAATGAAATGAGTGCTATGCCGGAGCCAGCTTATACTGACTGGGAGCCAACTGTTAAATTTTCAGGAATTTTGCGAACCAGTTGTTAAACACAGTCATTATTGAAAAACTAAATGATATAAACTTACAATTCAATAAATGATATATTTTTAAAAGGCAATAAATACCCAAAACGTAACCACTTCCCAATTATTTTACTACATTTGACTGACGATTTTCTATGCTCTTGAGGGTACTGGCCTCTACTGTAGCTGCAGAGTAGAAATACCATACAATAGTTGCAATTGCATATTTCTTCCCAATTGCACATTCACTGATTTCATGCTAGTAGTTTGAAATCAGCCATGGGGGGAGCATTTACACCATGGAAATTGGCACATAGCCTCACCGTCACCATCACCATCACCATCACCATCAGTTGTAAACACCTACCAGCACACCACTATGCATGTTTACATGAGCATAGAAAGTCTAGGAGATACATATCAAAATCTCAACTCTTGTTACTCTAGAGGGGAGGAAAGAGGGAAGCAGGGATGCTTTTGCTTAATTTGTCTATGAGACTACACTGCCTTTGTGTTTTAAAAATCTCAGAAAACTAAAAAGAGAAGGCATGCAACTCAGGCTTCCCCTTCCATGGCAGTCTCCCCAAGTGATGCTCCAGTCTGCAGGGACCCTACCCTGGAGACTCAGAGAACCCTGGATTTTATCATAACACTACTCCCTCTACATTATCATTTCTGATTGCTCCTCTGTCTCCTGGGGGAAAACAGAAGCATCTCTAGTTCCTACAGAGATGTAGTAGGAGCGCATGGAGGGTAGTAAGAGCCATGGAGCCAGAGAAATTGGCTAGAATTTCAGCTTCGCTGCACACAAGCTGAATGGCCTTGGACAGATATTTGCTGACCATGCCTCAGTTTCCTCATCTGCAAAATTGGATAAAAACCAACCTTGTAGCACCGCTGTCATAATGGAAGTGTAAGACACTCAGTGAATGGTCACTGTTAGCATTGTGATCATAATTGGGATTATTAAGAGTTCAAATATTAGTTATTACTAATTTGGGGTGGTGGGAGGCCTGTAGGTCAACACTGAGTTGTAATCAGTCTTGGCAGTTTCATCTGGACACAGAGGCCTGGGCAAGGGTTGTGAAGGACATAGGAACTGCCTGAGACCTCTGTCTGCTGGATTCAGGTCTAGAGCTTTTCTGAGTTTTGGCTTATCTTGCCCACCAATCAGGATTTTCTCAAATCAAGCATTTATTCACTCATTCATTCATTCATTCATTCAACCAACAAACATCATGGAGGGAGTGAGCACAGTGACAGGCTCTGGGGATAAAATGTTGACCCAGGCAGAGAGTGTCTTTGCTCTTAGAAAGCTCACAGCCTAGCGGGACACAGAAGAGAGGTCACTGTGATATGGCATGGCCAGTACCATGGTGGGGAATTATGTGGGATTATGGGATCTCTGAGCTGGAGCCCTGGACCTAGGAAACTACTGAGGACCTTTTCTGGGGACATGGAATCTAAGCTGAGATCTTAGAGAAGAGAGAGATGGTGCCCTAGGCAGAGGGTGCAGGGCAGGCAGGATCTCACAGGGCCTGTGGACCATGTTATATGCCACTGATGAGCCCAGGCCACCCTGAGTAGAGAGCAGGCTGTGGGCTTCCAGTTCTGGGACTGACATGGGTCCAGGCGTGACAGCAGGGCAGATGCTCAGGACCAGTCCCCAGAATGCTGGTCTCCCAGTGTCTTCCCTTGCCTTTTCCCTCAAGGTCAACTCCTTGGTCCCTCTGAACTCAGTACTTTGGACCAGCCCAGAAGCTCTGAGCATTGTGATATAAGGCCTTTGATAACCTGGCACCAGGCTGATAACCTGGGGAACCTGCATGCTGAGAGGCTCCCTTAGCCTGGAGAAGAAGAGGCCTGAGAAAGCAGAGCCATCATCATCAGATGT